TGGTTAGAAAAATATCCTTTGTCTTATATTGAGTCCTCACAAATAGACGACATGACGTTACGCATCAATAATAGACATTTTTGGCTGCACTACTCAACGATCGTATCACTCTAAATAAACTTTGTTACTAATGAGTGTTTAATTTTAAGCTCGTTTTGAGTGCCTTTATGGTGATATGATTTGCCATTAAAACTTAAGTTATTGTACATAGGCAGACCCAAAACAACCAGGATTCTCTTCTGGATGGTGGGCTTCTAGTACAAGCTTCACACACACTAGGTGAGTATTCAATGAATCCATCTTCATCAATTTACTAGATGGCATTGTTGTAAGAGAAAACATTTTGCAACAGTAAACTTTTTTTGAAACTTCTCCAATGTATTTTGCTATTTATAACTGCTGTTGTGAGAGAGATTGTGCATTCAGAATTTAGTTAATCATTTGACCTGAAAGTTTTGAAACAGTTGCATCAAGATTTGTGGAAGAAACGGCTCCAGTTATGGCAAACGGGTGACTGCACTTTCCACCGTGACAATGCTACCGTCCATACCACACAGTGTTAGGCAGTTTTTGGCCAAAAAAACAATACCACCACTGTTCTTCACCCAATCTTGACCCGTGCAACCTTTTTTTTTTTTTTTTTTTGTTTTCCTGGATGGAAAAGGCATTAAAATTGATGAATCCAAAAACTGTTTTGAGCAATGGCAAAAACATCTTGATAAGTGCATTGAATCAAACAGAGAGTACTTTGAATGCAAAAATAAATACACAATTAATATTCTTAATAGCTACTTTTGAATTTGCTATTATTTAAAAGTACTTATCGGACCACAGTTTTCAGTTGAAAAATTCACTAAAACCAATATGTACATTTTCGGTCTATTACTACCCTTCGTCAGTTAAAACATAAAAGAAACTGTTTTAACTTTACAAATCAAAATATTCTCTTAATACACAGTAAATTTTACACAATTATCTAAAATCACAACTTACATTATACATTTACAATATGTTTTTAAAAATCTTTTGTTTTTTCTATTTTCATAAGTACATTTTTACATTGTAATATAAATTATTTAATTTGTAAATTTAACATTTTTAATTAATTGTGTCTGTTCTGGTATTAAATATAATTTCTTTTAAATCTACTATACATCATTTTATTATATTGTATTTTTCTATAATTTTCCTCTTCTTTTCATTCGTTATTTATTTTATTGCTATTACTTATCTTTTGTAAGCATTTATTTAATTAACCAACATCTATAAACTCAATGTACTATATATACATAATAAGCCAACAACTACCGGATTATATTGAATTATTTTTAAATTACTAAATAATTTGTTGCTAGAGGTAGCTGTTAAGCACCATCTCTTACTATAATAAGAATAAGATGAATTAAATAAAACAGTATTGTTGTTCGTTAAAATAGAAGCAGGTTATAACAATAGTAATTTATATTAATAATTTTCATTTATATAAGAAATGACCATTAAGTCTTAATTTGTATTTAAAAGTGGCACTTTTAAATACAAATTAAGATAATTGCCTTTAGAAACCTGCCCAATGTCCTGCTATTTCTAAGTTAAAACTAAAAATGGACGATTATTGATACATTTATGATTTAAAGAAAATTTTGTTTTAAATTGTGTGTTTGTTAAGTTATGGCAACACAACACTTGGACGATGTGCTTAGGGGGATGCCTTCCGGGAGGTCTTTTTAAGGGGAACTGCCCCTATTTAGGCGTTACAGAGGTGGAGAAAACCCGGAAAACTCCAGGTGGCCAGCTCATCTGAGCAAGGTGCAAACCCATGACCAAATTCCCAGAATCCAGGGAATGAAGACCACTTGGCCACTGGTGGGCCTTTTGTTTTAAATGAAATAACTCAGTGTTATATATTCATAAACAAAATTATATGTGCATATATTTTACTACATTATGTATACGTTTATTTATTATAAGAATGAAAAACTCGTACAATCAATTTAAAGAGGTTTTAATTTTGACATGTATGCCTATTGTTCTTTGGGTTTCTTTTGAAAACAATTTATTTAATAACTCAAAAATTTTTGTGCCACATTGGTCAAAAATCACTGTTTTAAATAATAGCAAATTCAACATAGTTATTAAGAATATTTATTATAAAATAAACAATTTTTTATAAATAAATTCCAATTTTTTTGGTCCTCCCTCGTTTAAGCAGAACACGAAAATAGAGCTGCCAAACATTATCTATTTTACGGCATTTTCTGTGATTTTTTCTAATTTGTTATCTAATAAAACTTAATAAGTTGTTGGTTGTACTCAACCATAGTGCATCTGGTGGTGGGGTCCCGATTCTGATCTCCATTGCGAGCCTTTTGGATATTGGGGATGCCTATTCCAGACCACGTGATACACATGGCACCCCCAATACCCAAAGGGCTCGTAACGGAGATCAAAACTTAATAAAATTTTTATTTTAGAATCATGAAATGTCAGAATTGAAAAAATTTGGGTGTTATGAATAGTTAACAAATTTATATGCTGGTTAGAAAAATATCCTTTAAAGAGATTACTTTTGACTCTATACTTATTTGTTGAAAAAAATTTTTTATAACTGATTTAATTGCATTAAAACATATAGTTTTTAATAAAAAGAATAATATATTCATTAAGATATGAATACGTGTAAGGTAATTTTCAAAACTTTAAGACCAGAAATGCTTTGATTTTCCTGCACAAACTCATCAGAGAATTCATAACAATTTTCCAGATGGTATTGTTATCACAAGGGGTTGTTTTCCTGGGACGTCCCCTTCTCTTTCAATTGGTGAATTCAACAATCTATATTTTGTGATTGTGTTATGGACAGCAGTCTTCCTCACATTCGCTTTTCTGCTTATTTCACATTTCAAGCATCCTTCCTTATATAAAGTCATTATTAGTGCCATTTGAATAACCCATTTTTTACTACAGAGAAAATAAGTACACACCTCTCAGTATAAAAACCACAGGCCAACTGACACTCCTATGTTTTCTCCCACTGGATAAACTTATGTCACTATCAGGTTATGCAAACCCAACGCAAACATGAAACAATTGACTATAAAATGAAAATATGAAACTGAAAGTATCTTATGCATCTGTCAAATTATTATTAAAAAAAAATATATTGTAAATTAAAATTTTTGTTTACATTAACAGATAAGAATTGACTAATGTTTTCATCTGTAATAGCTGCTTGTTACAAATTAAAATAAAATCTAATATCTGAAGCATGTTTAATATAGAGTTTTATTTTATTTTATTTTATTTTTTAATTATTTTTAAAACATCAAATAATTAAATTAATAAAGTTTACCTCATGGGAAGCCAGCTTGCTAGGACTAAAACATCATTTAAAAGAATGGCGTGTATTCGCTGTATCGGCGTATAATCCGAAGTGTTTAATTCCATTATATCGCCACTGTGAATCAAGTAACGATCTTGAACTTCCAAAATACTCTAAAAATATAATAAAAACTATTAATACTACTTTTATAAATGTAGGGTCTTCCAGAAAGAAGGCTACCGTTTTAAATTATTCTAATTATGTTAATTATTATCTGAGAATTTTGTAACATGCATTAAAACATTAAAAAACTGTCCAAGTTTTGCATTTATCCATTTCAATTTCTCAACATTTCGTGTCACACAGCATATCATTTCGTGTCATCACAGCCTCCCACGGCAACCACAATTCTACGGCTCCTGCAGATTACTCGTGTTGCCCAATAATGAGTTATTCCAATTTTACAAACTGCAGAATGTAAAACACTTTTTCTAATGCAAAGTTGCCATTTTTATTCACGGTGCTTCCTAGACAACAAGACGTTTGAATGCAGATGAGAGATGAAACTTGGATGGTTACTCTATCGATTGGCGCATGTCTCATATTTCTCTGGTAATAACTAACATAATTACATTAATTTAAAACAGTAGCTTTCTGGAAGAATGTGTATCAGTTATAATAAAGGCTATAGAAATATATTTCACCACACAGCCTTCAATCTTTTCTAAGAGAGTTGATAGATTTTTTCTTCCGTCTTCTTCCTTGATTTCAGAATTTCTTTCGGTGGCATCCGAAACTAATGCAAATTAAAAGAAAAAAACAGCGTCAGTGGCATTAAATTTTGCATAGTTACTTATAATTACATTATTAAAATGAGATGGGGGAGAGTATTCAAAAAGTTAACTTCTGTTAATGTAAACATGCTATTGATGAATTAAACTTTATAAATTAATCTATCTACATTTAGGAAACGACCGACGTGTACCGGAAATCCTAATTTTTAGATGTTAAATTAGAAATTCAGAAAATTATAGAAGTAGAAATACAAGTACTTTAATGTCGACTTCTTCAGAATACAACCATAAAATATTTAAAGGAAATGAAAGATATTATACAGTATGAAGGCATCAACTTACTGATTTTTAATGTATGTATCATTAAATAATATTAAAATAAGTGGAAGGTTAATGTAACAATACATGGTACAGGTATGTATCACTTAATAACAGGAATAAGTTCTGAGAAATACATCATTAAGTAATTTTTTCATTAAGCAAATATTGTATAGTTTAGTTATACAAACCTATCTGGTGTAGTCTACATATATAAAACAATTGCAACATAATAGTAAGTACAGTAGTCCCAGAAACTTAACTCTCAATACATTCTGTAAAACTCATCGTGCTCATCCGAAAAAGAAATACTCGTAATCTAATTTTTACCTCTATAACTTAGCATTAAGATCAAATAAGTTATCATTCTTCACTGAAACATTTGATGATAGTATCAATTCCACACATTAAACCCTTTTTCCGTAGTGCCATTGCAAAATGCCATAATGCGAATGTCACTAATTCAAAAGTAGCACCAAATAGCCAATATTTTTTAAATTAAAATTTAACTATAGATAGAAAATAGTTAATATTGGTATACATTTAATTAATAAGTGTGTGAATTTGCACATCTTTTAAACAAATTCCACTCCATCGGAAATTGTGTTTTAAAATTATAATATTAACAATTAAGTATCAATATTCGTTTATTGGAAACTTTCATCTCTACAAAGTAGAGAATATGTAATGCTCCGTACACGAGGTGATGTCTGTCAAGGTGGACTTTTCTTTTATGTAGTTGGAGCAATGAGAGATTGTACTCAGTCGATACTAACTGTCCCATTTTAGAAGAGATAGGGTGACATTAAGACTGTCACTTGGCTGGTATTGGGTCAGTTTGGCCAGCAATTTTAAATCCAGGATGGCGGTCGACAAAAATATATAAGTTTGCAAAACAGTTTAAAATATAAACAAATTATATTTTAATTGAAAAATATTAGACAAAATTCTTTTTAATATTTAGTATGTCTACTTATAATAATAAAACACTTGAACACCACCTTAAATACTTTTTTGGCAACACTTTAATTTGTTTAAACAAATGTTTTCGACTTTTTCGTGGGTCTGTGTCAGGTTTAACAAGATTCGCACTGTTTAAGAAGACAGTTTAAACTTTTTTGTTAAACCTGACGCAGACCTGTAAAAAGGGTTGAAAATGTTCTTTTGTAGAAATTAAAGTGCAGCTGAAAAAAGTATTTAAAGTGTTGTTCAAGCTAAATTAGTTTCGGCGTATACAGAAGTGTTTTTTAATGATAAAACAACTTTCCCATTATAACCAACTATTAAAGTTTTTGTTATGATTCATATATGATACTGTAATACGTTAAATTTTAGAATGTGTTTCATGCGATTCCGAGCGAAAATAATTTTTTGCACTAAATTTACTGCCATTTTGAGTTTTAAAAATTGATTTTTTTTAAGATAAATTAGTCTAGGCATTCATTTGATTCTTTGTTTCCTCAAATACAATGCAATGAAGTATTTACAGGTTTCTTTTGAAAGATCAATTCTGGATTTCTCAATCACTTTCCATTCTTAAGTTCAATGTTTATTAATTAATTAATGTATCATGTTCGTAATGTAAACTGTTAACTTTTCTAAATAAAATAAACTTTAGAAAGTATTCAAAAAAATCGGAATCTGGAGAAATTTTGGTATCATCTCATCACTAGTAAAAACATCTTTTTATGATTTAACCATTGGAAAACATTAGTTTTTTAGCGAAATGTGCCAAGAAAGTTGTTGCTAAATCTAAATACTTGTAGCATTTTAGCAAAAAAAACTAGCAACAGCTTAAACCCTGAGCATTGTTGNTCTGCTAGTCTTTATATTAAACACATGCTAATCAGCTTGCATTTGTTTCTATCCCTTTGTATTAATATGATTAAATGCCCTAATAAATTCTTAACTCATTTTTTACAATATTAGAAGCCACGAATAACTTGAAGACTAAATAGAATTTTGACACGATTCCTTTTGTAGTAAAGTTTTCTGTTATTTACATATATTAGTGCTCAGTCCATGGTTACAAAACATTTGAGTGAAATGAGGTGTGTGTATGCTACAGAATTTCGCTCAAATTTTGTCTTGGAACTTTACTAAAAATCTTGCAATTAAAGAATTACTGAAACAGTTCTAACTTTTAAAAATACATTTCACCAATACAAATTAGGAAGTAAAGGAGCCAAGAGTTTTGAAAAAATATCTTTATGGGTACAGTAATTAGATCATATTTACAATCAATTTCATAAAAATTCAACATACCGTCGAAAGGATTCAAACTATTCGATCTAATATTATCCAGTTTTAAATTTGCAGATGAAGATTTCTTCTTTTTAGTTTGTTCGATCAGAGCCAACCATTCCTTCTGTGTCGTAAATAACTATTAGAATTTCGTAAGAAGAAATACTAAAATTTCTGTTGCACGTACCTTCATCTGAGCGGTATCGCACTGAAATAATCTAGTGTCGGGAAACATTAAGACCTTGAAAGCATTCTTTAAATCTTTAAATAAATAATAGAAAAACTAAATTATTCCAATTTAATTAATTAAAAATATGATTAAACTGATAAATTAAAAAGCAATTAATTTTTATAACTTATTTACAAAACTTAATAACATTTGGATATAGATAATTTCTTCTAAAATTAATATTGAATTACAGTAGAGCATCGATTATCTGAATATTGATCAACCGAAACGTCAATTAACCGAAAGCTTTCCAGTCAGCAAATTTAAATTTCCGCTAGTGCTGTGGCGCTGCAATCTTCGGCTATGTCTTGGGCTACTCCAATATTATTTTTTGGTGTGCATGTTTTAGCTGGCAGCACTGGTGCGACCATGAGAGCGAACTTAAGGACGTGCCAGGATTTGAACAAATTTCAACATGGGATAGGTTAATATATTTTTTCGTACATAATCGGTTATCCGAAATATCGATTTTCCGAACAACCCCAGTCCCCGATTGATTTGGATAATCGATGCTCTACTGTATGAGCCTTTTACAAGCTTCTAATACATTTATATACGGGATATACAATCAGTTGTCAGTTAAAACATAAAACAATTTCTTTTAACTTTATAAATCAAATACACCTTTGTAACTGACAAATACAGATACAGTAGAACCTCGAAAACTCGTCCCTCGATAACTTAGCACTCCGGATAACTGGTCCACACCTTGGCAGGGCGAAAAAATCCTTAGTTAATTAATTTTCATTATAGACAGCTTTATAAAAGTATAAAAGCTCTCATAAAGTATTTTTCTGAGGTCTGTCTTATCAGGTAAATTACTGTACACAGTGTATTCATTAATTTTCATTTTCATGTAGTGGCTCTATGCCTTCATAAAGGACGTACTTTTCCTTTGTTTAAGGGTATTTGGGCAGTTTATTCTCTGTTATATTCTTNATGTTCTTTTGTAGAAATTAAAGTGCAGCTGAAAAAAGTATTTAAAGTGTTGTTCAAGCTAAATTAGTTTCGGCGTATACAGAAGTGTTTTTTAATGATAAAACAACTTTCCCATTATAACCAACTATTAAAGTTTTTGTTATGATTCATATATGATACTGTAATACGTTAAATTTTCGAATGTGTTTCATGCGATTCCGAGCGAAAATAATTTTTTGCACTAAATTTACTGCCATTTTGAGTTTTAAAAATTGATTTTTTTTAAGATAAATTAGTCTAGGCATTCATTTGATTCTTTGTTTCCTCAAATACAATGCAATGAAGTATTTACAGGTTTCTTTTGAAAGATCAATTCTGGATTTCTCAATCACTTTCCATTCTTAAGTTCAATGTTTATTAATTAATTAATGTATCATGTTCGTAATGTAAACTGTTAACTTTTCTAAATAAAATAAACTTTAGAAAGTATTCAAAAAAATCGGAATCTGGAGAAATTTTGGTATCATCTCATCACTAGTAAAAACATCTTTTTATGATTTAACCATTGGAAAACATTAGTTTTTTAGCGAAATGTGCCAAGAAAGTTGTTGCTAAATCTAAATACTTGTAGCATTTTAGCAAAAAAAACTAGCAACAGCTTAAACCCTGAGCATTGTTGCTATGCCACGAAACTCGTCACCTTCTTGGTCCACATTAAATCGAGTTTGCAGGATTCTACTGTATTTCTGTATCTAAACAGATCTAAACATAGAAAAAGTACAGTCGGCTATAAATTTTTCAGCAGCATTATAATCTTATGGGATCTCTGTCATATAAGCAGTTTGTGATTAAGAGATGCACGCTTGCATACCCACGGAGATTTTTCAACAAAACTGGCATATTTTCCTATGAGATCACATCACATACAATGTTAAATATATTAAAAATGCCGAAGTTCCTTATTTACTTTTTTTACGTAACTACAAAAAATATTTCAAAAGTGTTTTATGCAAAATTTGAATGAAATATTCATAAGGCATACATAAAACAAAATAAATCTGTTTTTATTCTATCCATTTGAAAAGTTCTTTTGATTGTTTAATGATTTTTTGCAAGTAAAACAGAAAACTTAATTATTTCTCTAATAGACAATAGTTGATCTTTGTTTATTCTTATACACATACATGGCACCGAGCAAGGAGGAATAAATTCAAGTTATTTTGATGGGGGGATCCACAGTCAGCATTGAGTCGGTAAAATATACATAAGGAAAGGCCTCACTTAATGCCATTTTGTTTAACATTTTTTCATTATAATGTCGTCAAGGAAAGATACAAATACATTTGTAATCATTTAAATTATTATTGTCAAATTTTCTTTATAAACAATAAAACTGATTCTACGAGGTGGAAAATAAATGCTGGAGGTTACAAATACAATTCAATTAGAATAATATTAATTGAATTATATTTTTTATTATTATTTAGCCTGTGATAAAATTAGTTTCACTACACATCATTTTTGTTTAACGTCGCAGTTTCCTGTCAACAATGTTAAGTGAGGACTTGCCATATATACAGGATCTTCCAAAAGAATACTGCCATTTTAAATTATTGTAATTATGTTAATTATTATCAGAAGACTTTATAACATATGTTAAAACATCAGAAAATCATTCAAGTTTTACATTTGCCCATTATAATTTCTTAATGTGTGCACCTCGCGTCATAAAGCGCAAATTCATGAGATACTGAAATTTGTCCTACACTTAGCTAGGGCGCATTCGTCGTCACTCCTCCCACACCAGCCACAATTCTATAGTTCCTGCAAATTATCGTGTTGCACAGTGACAAGTGACTTTGAAAACTGAAGAACATAAAACTTTCTCTATTGTGGAGTCGACATTTTCATTTATAATACTTCATAGAGGCAGTAGATGACAAGATATTTGAATGCAGATGGGAGATGAAACTCGAACAGCTACTCTATCAATTGGTGTGCATCGCACACGTCTTAGATAACATAATTACATTAATTTAAAGTGGAAGCATTCATTTTGAAAGACTTCATATGTATTATCCCAGTATTTTATTTTGAAAATGAAGAAAAAGTAAACTTTTCTCATATATTTTTTGTTTTACACAGAAAATTTCTTACTTTGATAATTGTTTGAACAGAAATATAAAATTAAAATTACCAACCTTTATCTCCAGTAATCGATATTTCTCGTAATGAATTTAAGACCGACTGATGCTCTGTTAGCATGTGACTCAACTGATACATTTCACTTTCCAAATCTGAATGATTTATATTAAGGAAATATTTATTTAAACATAATACATATACTAAAATTTAAAATAAATTATATGCAAGGAACGTAATTTGTATTTTTCTTAGCAAACTTTCATTAAAAAAAAATGTGCATAACACGGCAATTTTTCAGAACGTAACTACAGCATTATACAACGAATACCTGTACATGTTTTGTGCTTGCTAAGAAAGTAATACTTTTATTGTATGGAATGGGGCAATTTCACTGATCAGGTACACAGGAATTACTGTTTTTCTACAGAAAATAGTTGTTGACTTCACCTGTACGAGAAAATAATTCAAAACATCCAAATTTTGTATGTTAACTCTAACATACCATTCACAGCTGAATATGAAATGGTAATTGATCAACCAATCAAATTAAAAAGAAAAAAAACGACCAAATATTTAAACTTGGGATCCTCAAAAACCTCTAAGTATTTTGTGCTCATTGGTAACTTTGTATTAAGTAATTTTCCTATTTGAATGCTACCATTCCATTGGTCAGATAGAAAGGGGAGCCCGTCGTTGGCAGGGGTCGAAGGTAATTGACCAAAAGTAGTCGACATCCTACCAAATGAGAAGGCCGTCCCCGAAAAGTTTCAATGCATTTTATCAAAACATTTCAAAATGTATAAAGAACAAACAAATTTTCTTCATTATATAATCGATAATTTATTATATTTACATATGTGTATAGGTGTATACATTCTAAATCTATTAAGTATTGTTCTAATTAAAAATGTGTAACAGTCAGTTAACTCGCTTTTGGACCACTCTGTATTTAGATGATACGTTGCAGATAATCAGTTTAACGGTTTGTAATGTACACAGGCCCTTTCAAACTAATGCTAGTGACTTATTTAATATTTGTTTTTACATGCACCTAACAACATATTTTAATGTTTTTATTATCCTTGTTTACTTTTAATGTTATTTAGTTTATTTTTAACTAGTAATTTATAAACTGGATGTAGGGGTGGTAGGACAGTGGTCCGCCAAAAAATTTATACCCATTTATAGACACACCTGTAAGAAAGATTGGCCACCTTTGGTATAATGCCTTTCATTAATCTATGTGATTTGTTTACAGTAAACATTAAACAGTAAGCTGTAATTAGTGTAATAAATTACAATAAACATATTTCAGAAATATCATCCAAATAAAGGATACACGAAATTTCTTTGGCTGTTTCAATAAACTGTGTGTAATTTTTATAAACATTTTTCTTAAGCTGTCCATTTGTCTCTTCGGCTACGTTCACAATTCTCTGTCGAGCACTTAAAAGATCTTCCACTTCTTCACATACTTCGTTAAGCTCTTTGACATCTATAAAATTAAAAAATATATATTTATTTCAGTTGATAATATTTTTTATTAATATTTAGTTACTCTTATACTATGTATGAATTTATACACAGTGTTTCCCAAAAGAAACGTGACATAGAAAATTGTACGGAGAAGCTCGTAGGCAAAGCACCAGTGGCAAGTGTTTAGTTTACAGGTTCGGATTTTGCGACAGGCTAACCACAAGTTATTTCACTGGTGTGCCTATAGCAAAATCTGAATGCGTTTCTACAGATTATTGCGGCTACTGTAACCGTAAACCTCATACCTTACTACTTTCTACTTGTTACGAACCAACAGTTTATGCAAATAAGTAAATCAATGCAATTACGATTAGTAACAGTTACTGCTGTCCAGTTGTCGTAGGATGGGCGAGACAAACCTGCATACAATTTTTACAGGAATTATGGAATTTATGTAATTGTTTGTTCATTAAGGAAAGAGTAGAGCTTTGTTCTAACTTATGGACAAGGCAACAATTCCAGAGCAACAATGCCAGACACACAGCAGACATTTTTCATGCCTGGCATCACAATAAGCCAAAAACTATATCATTCTATCATTTTGCAGCTCTATCAAAAATTTGGGAATGGTATAAGATGCAAAGAAATCAGGACATTCTGGTTAATACGCTTGCTTTGGCACTAAACAAACCCATGCATCCTCTATGAAATGGGAATTGCTGTTGGACTTTCTCAATCACCTGTCTATCAAATATTTAAACGGGCACAAGTTTCATCATTGCATATTAGTTACTGTGCAAGAACTAGGTGCAGACCTCAAGGTCAAATTCTGTGAAAGTTTGACAAATCCGTTACAGGATAATCCTAGATTACATCATCACTTATGCTTCTCTGACAAAGCAACTTTCTATTTGAATGATTGAGTCCACAAACACAATTTCCACTATTGGGCACTCACAAATCCCCATGTCATTCATGTAGACCATACTCAAACATCACAAAAATTAAATGCATGGACTAGACAAGTGGCATGCAGGGTACCGTATTCTTTCTTCCGAACCGGGCCTATGTATTTGGATCTCCTTAATGTGGCAATCAAATCAGAACTTGAGTATGCAGTGCTATAGAAAGGAGCCACTGGTGTTTCCACATTTAATATGGGTAGTGTGGTCTATTGACAGAACAGCTACTCATATCCAGACAGAATATCAGAAATAGACATGTTTCCTGAGCATTAGATTGGACATTGCAGCCCATACAAACAGCCTACTGGATTCCTAAATCTAACATCCCTCGAAATCTTCTTATGGAGACACCTGAAAGCAACTGTTGACTGAAGCCACTGTAAAACTGGATGAACTAAAAGAAAAATTTTCAGAGGCTTGCTGAGAAATAACCACAGAGAGAGCTGAGGTTGCTTTGTTTTGTCATCAACTGCTCCACTGTTTGTATGCAGGAGGTCGTCACTTTGAGCATCATCTTTAAAATGTAAAGGAGAGACTGTTTCAAATGGGAGAGAAACAGAAAAGAGAAAAATAAAGTACTTATTTTTGCATTGGACAAGTATTAATTACTAAATTTTGCACATCATTAACCAATAATAAGCCAAATAATACCAATAAATGATACTAACTTGTAAGTAAAATTAATAATTCATTCATATTTTACAACACTGAATGAATATTGCATAGAAATTTTGTAGAATTATCTTGCCTTTCAAGAGTGCATCATCTTTTAGTGGCCATTAAATTAATACTAATTCTCAGTTCTGACCCGCACACTATTATAAACCTGGCAAAACATAGCAGGACTTGTATTAACCTTACATGTTTGTGTCCTTGAAACATGTAACAAACAAATGACATCACTAGATTTTAAGTGAGCTATAACATGACTAGTAAATTATAAAAATATTACATCATTTGGACTGAAGGTAGGAGGTTAGGCTACCAACTTACGTTAAATTTAATAATTAGAAATTAATTAATCAATTTTGGGTATTCTAAAAGGAATGTAACAATCCTGGATTCTTACTGGAATTTATGCAAAGTAAAGTATTGAGAAAAATCAACTTTGTCGCAGATTATACTTGTACCGAAGAGGGGTCGGTAAAAACTCTGATCCGAAATGCATATAAATAAAATATCTGAGAATTAAAATTGTCTTCTGGATGGTTCTTGACCTCTGGTGAATGTTGAATTAGAGGACTAACAATTTTGTTTATTCTTCTATAAACCCCTTTTTAGAGATTACCAAAATAAAATAGTATAATTTCAAATTGTTCGACAAGCTTGTTAAATAATAGAGACAATACAAATAAACTTTAAAGAGTTAACATTTATATCACACTTTTAACAGTAGGATTTTTTTAGAAGAGTGCCAACCCTACTGTTAAAGGTATAGTAATTACTCCAGCTAAGTTATCATACTGGCTAGAATATCATCTTCACATCTATGTAACATTGTGAACAGCATTTTGTTACCTTATTACCTCAACATCAGTCCTTATCATTTTTGAAGAGACAGGATCATTTTGATGTATGTTGTTTTGTGCCACAACATAACATTTTGCAAAGCATTTTGTCTATTGAACATGGAGTTGGCTGCAGCTATTTAGAGTGTGTCTTCACCTGTATTACCCTTAGATGTGCTTCAAACCACGTCGTCCATTGACGATTCATCAAAAACCGACATGCAATGGATCAGTGGCAGACAACTTTGCAAAACTTCAAGTGACATAGGGTATGCCGCAGGGCATTTTGCTCCATCAAAACTGATTTATCGATTGGTAACAGTACTTTTTTTGTGACATTGTTACATGGATATGAACATAGCTTAAGGTGTCAGCCTACCACTCTGGGGACCTAGTATTGGATCCAAATGGCCAGAAAACTCTAAACATTTTTTAAAGTTGAAACGTGTTTGGCCCAAGTGTTACTGTGCAAGCACCCCTGGCACAATACTAGAAACAATAATAAAAAAAATATATAATAATAATAATAATCTTTGGATAGCTTTAGCATCCAAGACTATTGTAGTGAACGAATGTTTAATTCCTAGTTATTGTAAATAGAATTAAATTTCTATTCGTTCAAAAGTTATCTTGGTAATGGGAAACTTAATTCACGTGACCAGTGTAAATATTTTAAGTCATAATCTGTCTATATTCAGCTTACAAAGCATATAAATAATTTGAATAATTTACTAGAATAAAGATAAAAGCTTTTGAATTAAGTAATTTGAATAAATGTTATCTACAAACTGAATAATACGCAATACAAAATAATATGAATAAATAATTAGAAAACTATTTTGGAATTTTAAAATTAAATTTTTACAAAAGGAAAACATTCGAGAATATTACAAGGTCATATCCTTGCATTATTAAGATTGTATCTATCATATACATTGCAACTTTTTTACACATATATATTACATATAATATATTAATATTTATACATTTGTACTGTTATAAAAGCCTGAGACTAAGAGTTTTAGTTTTTTTTTCTAATAAATCATAGTGATTTATTAGAACTTCAAGGAGAAGTTTTTACTGCAGAGGTTGTTCAAGGAGGTATTGTTCACAGTAATATTTCTAGATGCTTAATAATAATAATGCTCCTTAATTCTTTTATATGTAAATCTGTAGATATAACCTATATAGTAAAAATCTTATAGTTAAATTTATATTTTAACTCCTTTTTCCTTGCTGTTTGTATTGTATCCCCACCCATGTATTAATTTAGATGTAACCAGAATGGTTACATCTAAATTAATAGTTCTGGAGGCAAAGATCAGACACAGGTTCAAGTATNTCTTCTTTAAAATTGTCGATTTTTACTGTATTTAAAATTAAAGACGAGGAAAGATTTTACTTACCTTTAAAATAATATTTTACTCATTTTGTTATCATCAAAAGTCCAAGCGGGGTGGAGATTTAATTATAATTAGTTAACATTTTCAGATTAATGCGTATATTCATTAAATACAGAATTAAAATTGTGTTTATAAAGATTAAACAAATTATTTCTGAATTATTCTTCGCTGGAAATCGATATTCCTGCTAAATAAAAGTATAGATGTTTGGAAAATCGAGTTAATTTTATATTAAAATATGAGATAAATAAAATTTTTTAAATTTATTTCTATATTTTTTATCGCTTAAATTAGTTATTTTGCTTAATTATTTCAATGATTAATCGAACAATATTTAAGCCATTTACCAGTTAATATTTTAGAAAATTGTCATTAAGAAGTGCAAAAAAATAAAGAAAAAAGTATGTTTTGCTTTTATAAAGTACAAATTTAATTTCGAGGAATATTTATGAAGTAGTATTTTATAAACTAAGTTTAATTAAAATTTTTTCATAAAAAAATTTTAAAGAATTAAAGGTATTTATTATAATTTACGAGAATATTTTCTAAACATGAACAATAGTCTATTATTTAAGAATCGTCTCCACTAGATGTTTATGAACATTCTCTGCTCACTCTGTCCTTATTAATAAATATTAATTATTAAATTTAATAAGAAAGGATGCCTAATGCCTGCCTCTAGACCAAATTACTTAGCATTTAAATATTAATAGTAGGAGTAATACAGCCCAATCTATTCCAACAATCGTTTGGCATTATGTTTTAGTAATGGAATTTTAACCGGATGATTTCGTTAGCAAGAAAATGCATTTTATTTTAAAGCATTGCCTGTAACTATTGAATAACTAGTAATTTTATTTATTTTCGGTTAAATTTATTATACGGGTACGTGCTGGATGTCCCACGAGGAATTTTTCGGTTCCTTAATGAATTGAATAATTTATAATCATTTGTAGTAGCTTTTCTATGTTTAATTATATAAATATTTATCATTGTGTTGTAATTATGTTACATATAGCCAGAGTCATTAACTAGTCACTGTACTCTCACTAAATACAGCAGAAGTGAGAGAAAAGGAGAACTGCTCAAAATCAATTTCAAAATAAACTTTTTTCCCTGCTATATTCTAGTTTTATGAATTACATGCATATACATTTTTAATAGAGTTTGTTGAAATGATTATCATAAAAATAACACGAAGATGTCAATGGTTTTGCTTGACTGATCACTTGGTTTTCTTTTACTTTAAACAAGTGTCTTTGTCTTGCACAATTTATAGCCCATGATTGTAATTCAAGACCTAACAGTTCATTGTTATAGAGAAGAAGAACTAACTGAAGTTATGTAATTTAAGTCATGCAAGCAGGATTTAGTTACTATTACACTTCAGTAATCTAAAATAAAATAACTTACACACTTTCAATCTTAACCGGTCTTAGTCTAACAGGATTTAAACATTTTTTACTCACTTTTAGTCAATCAAAGAAAAATTTATTAACCAACATAAATATTCTACCATAAGAAAGGCATGCAAATAACAGATAATACACATGAAAACTACAAAGTAAGGAACAGTGGCACTCTTAATTTGGAGCAATTCCCCTAATCACTTAAAGCTATGGGGAGTGACGAGACTAGTCTATCTAATGACCCTGACGTAGTCTATATGAGTAATAACCTGAACTATAGTTTTGTCTAAATACATTCTATGGTGTTCATGATGAAGTTACTTAACATATTTCTTGGAATGTACCCCCGACATGAACCTGTATGTACAGATACGAACCAACTTCATGTTGGGGGTACATTCCAAGAAAGTTAAGTTTTGTTTGTTTTAATTCTAATACTCGATTGTAATGTACAGTACAATACATATTAAACATACTGCAATCAATAGTGTTAGTAAAAACAGCACTTACTGGGATGGTACTGTTGATTAAAGAACTGCGGAGTAGTCATAATTAGTGCTCTTTTTCTAAAAAAAATGAATACACTACGCATATATGTTGACTGAATGTGTAGAATTTTTTTTACCGAGCAAATGCCAATATCGCGTACTAGTTACCAATAATTTTTATGCTATCTGCCGATAGGGCATTCTGGCGTCCCAAGCATAACATTATACATAAAGTTACCAGTTAACATGTTTTATTACAAATGAAGAGCTTTACCTCTCTTCATAAGATATAAAAATAGAAATAATCCTCGATCAATGCACTTTTCTTTTAATATGATTTATTAATTGTGGACAATTTTCTTAATATGCTTTTTTTCAATAAAACTAGTTCTGAAGAAAGTCTGTGCTAGTTGCCATTTGAAGAGTTTGTTTAGTGAACTACTGTCAAAGAACATACCTATTATATTAAATGAGAGCTACCAGTAGGGTTGGCCATAAATTATATAATGCATATGTGGGCAAATGGGTATGCAGGTAATTGTTACAATGCATTACAATGGGTGGAAATGTTTACGAAAACATTTAATACTAGGATCTCAATACTCGGGTAACAGAATAATTCATTTTGTTTCTGGAGTATTGCATATCAAACTGTATCTTCCACATCACTACACATTGTGTGTGTAATTAATGAAAGAATAACATTCAATATCCTGCACCCTGTATTACTCCATAGTATAATCGGTGGAGTCTATCAAGGATACATGTTAAGTAATTTTGAAGGTTGAAATGTGAAGCAGCCTTATGGAATGTTAGAGGGGGTGAAATGGTTGTTGAAAAATATAAAAATAGCATTATGTAATTTACAACAATCCCTGTATACAAATAAAACCTAATAAAACAAATAAAAACAGGATTTTCTTTCCCATGTTATTAAAAGAAAATTTACATTGCATTTCTTGCACGAAAAAGTAAATTTTAAAGTATTACAAGAAATCTTTAAAAAGATTCTTGTAAGACAATACATACAAAGATTTGTAAGACAATACAAATGTATTGTCTTACAAATCTTTAAAAAGATTCTCGTAAGACAATACATTTGTATGTATTGTATTACAAGAATCTTTATTATCTTTATTATGTGTCAGTTAGCATCGCGGCACTTTTGAATTTACAAATGCGCACATTTGTATGTATTGTCTTAGAAGAATCTTTAAAAAGATTACTTGTAATAATAATTCATCTTGGCCATATATTTTTACCAAATGTATATTTTAAAGGCTTCTGTAAACAGTGTAAATGGCACTACCGACACCCTTCTAACAAGTAAGGGTCCGTTTGGAAACGCTTACCAATTAGTCATTCAATAATATCTTTTAACGACATCGTTAGTCAGCCGGTCACTCTCTAACCCGCCCTCAAACACAGCGAGTCCGAAAACAACCGGAAACTTTACAGGTAACGTTTTCGAACGACGCCCAGTCGAACCGGAAAGTATTTCCAAACAGACTGGTAACGTACTCGTGCCAGGGCACTACTCCCGGTACTTCTTTTTAAGCAGGACGAAGCCCGTGTACTTTACAAACATCTAGATTCGACTTCGGACTACATACTTCATCATAGAAATAAAATAAACAGAAAATTACTCCTCACAGTTTTTTACATTGATTACAAATATATTGCTCATTTTACAGATACCGGACCATAAAGTTGCACTTCGCTTGTACGAAAAGCCACGGACGGCGGAGATTCGAACCCAACGCGCCGGTTAGCATCGCGATATTTTTGAATTTACGTCTACGCCTCCGAAACGGAACTAGTCGGCGTGTTGCTCGCCAGGGTGAGCCACCATCTGGGACAAGGATTAATACTTGTAATTGATTATTATTACACAAGTTATTTAATAAATTCATACACAAATAAAGTTTATTTGTGTATGAATTTATTAGACGTGTTTGTTTGTCTAATTCGTGAAAATATTGAAGTTTTTAAGTACGTTTCGTCAATTTTATTTCGTAGAATTGATTAAAAATGAACAATTTTCTGTGTATTTGTTTCATATTAAACCATTACCAAAGTTTGCCACCATCACATCAAAACATAAGAAATTCTACTAAATTTTCCATTCCGTCGCATTTATAACGATCGGGAACGAAAACGGGTTCGTAAAATTACTGTTTTATAATTAAATTTGCTTTAGAACTTACATTCATGAGGATTAAATGTCAGCGAACTTAATCTATTAGCTAAAGCCACCGCCATCTTGTTTAGCGACTAACGCCCTCTCGTGTCGAAACATGTAAACGTAATAGAAACAGACGACATTAATAATAATAATAATCTCACCTTCAGAAAATATGTTTTAAATTATTTTTTTAATTTTATTTTATTATAAATTGGAAAATTTTTTTTTAAATAGTTTTCTTTCATCTGGTCTACCCTTTTTGTTCTTGGATTTAAATCCATAGAAAACTTAATTGGAGCGCCAATAGGGTTGGTTTTGGTTCCATCTTCTGGATCCAATTTCTGGAAAATTAATGCCAAAATACTAGTTTTTCTGTCATTTTTGTGGTAAAATTTGGTCTGGAGTATCGTTTTTTATGAATCAAAATTATATACTTCGGCTGGATTGCGTGTGTACGATGAAAAAGCCTTCCCATCCATAAGATTGTGTTTGATCTTCCAAAGGTTTATCTAAGTGAGAAGCAGTGACGAGCGACTCTTTCCGGATGCGGGCCGCAAGTGAACTACGCAGGCTTCCGGAGAGCCGCGCGCATTTTTTTCTTACGGATCCGTAGTCTTTGGGCCGGTACAGATGCGGCTCTGGACGAGACGGTTGGGACCTCGTCGGAGCCGTACGCCGTGCCCCCAGGAGTAAAAATGCCAAAGGAATCGACGGTCTACGTTTGATCCTTCGCGACGTGTAGCGGCATAGTGTGTAGACATACTCCAGAAGTATTCAGTGCATTGGCATTTCTCGTATTTTTGCTGTCTCTAGTAAAATGGAAAATGGTTGACTTTTCGGCATCATTTTGAGAAATAGTTCTGAATTTCTTTTGCTTTTAAATTTTACCCCATTTTTGAAGGTCGTCGAGATTTCGGGAGGGTTATATATCCCGCAAAAGGTCACCGGTCACTGGCTTTTTTTACTGTTTTACTCGTACGAGCACGGTCTATGGCTCCCTTGTTCGGAACTACATTTTTATTTTTAAACCTATTTAGTTTTACATATTCTAATTTCCAGTATACAAAGTACTAAAGTAATATATGCTAATGATATGCAAACTAGCAACGTATAATTTATTCTCATTTTTTTTAACTGGTCGAATTTAGTTTAAATGTTTTCTTTGTCACGAAAATCAGCTTAATTAAAGTTGCATAACGATTAGGAAAATAAAATTACTCCAGGAAGATATATATTAAAATGTATAGTCTGTGGGACATGGCTGTTATATACCACGTTCATGGGCTCATGACCATTGCATACCGCATCCATGTGCTAGTGACTGCTATGTGCCACTCACACGACTGGTGTATACCACATCATTCTTTGATTTATTACTCGGATTGCTTGTTAGATAAGTAAATACTCTCGTTCCATATTGTTTTGCCTATATAAATTCAGTTTTATAACGTTTTCCAATTCGAAGTACCATAGTAGGATTGTCCTTCTGTCATTGAACTTAATCGAACATTATCAGTTCACTTGTATAAGATTCGGTCAGTCTGGTAAAGAAATAATGAAAATTGGACACGTAATTTGTGAATTATGAATTGTTTAATCATTCGTTTATAATTTTGATTCATTTAAATGGCTTTTAAACTGCGCGTACACTAATGCATTAATTAAATATATTTATATACGTAAAATTAACCGAATATAATTTAATTTGAAGGCTTTTTGTTTTAATATTTAAATATTATCTAATTTTTTTATGTAATTCAAATCTAGAAATCGAATATGTCGGGAAAAAGAGAACAGTTTGGAACGACGGGATTTGAAGATTGGGTAAGAAAATATAACTTAATTATAAAATATATATAAATTCGAATTTTAATTATTTATCTAATATAAAACTCCAATTCTTGTTAAACAATAATTGCATTGATTCCTGTTTTACTAGAACATAAACAGCAGTATTTGGCAGTTGATATGGTAACATTCTAGCTTTGTATGAGGCAGTCGGGACCTTATGAGAGCTATGAAAAAAGTCAAAGGAACCGATAATCTACGTGTGACACTTTACAAGATATAGTCCCCCCTGATTCACACATCTATAATTACATTAAGATCCCAACAATCTCCTTCAGAGCTAAAATCTTGATATGAACTCCCTGAAAATGAGCTATGAAAACATTAGGAACTATCAAAAACTGTTGTTTGTGCTTCAATAAAGTAGAAATTAGCATAATTAATACATTTTCCGCAGAATATGTTCTGAAAACACATTTCAAAAATGTTAAATAAGTAAAATTTATACTCGTAAAAAACTGTTTTTATAATTTCAGATGAAAAGTTGTACATTTCATCATAATATAATATATTTCGAGATAAAATATGCAACTTTTCTTATATTTTCCTTTAAATTTCTCTTATATAATCTGAATTTTTCTTAGGGTGGATACATGAATGCAAAGAAAAGGAAGTTAGATAATCAGTTTAACGAACAAAAACCTTTCGAATTATGCTACAATGAAGGTTCTAAATTATTTCAGAATGTTGAAATTTATGTTAACGGATATACAAGTAAGACTGATTCTTTAAATATTGATTATTTTATAAGCAACTTTAAAATGATTATAATATTTATAATTACAGAGCCGTCGTCTGCGGAATTAAAGAGATTAATGATGTTGCATGGAGGTCGGTATAACCACTATTACTCGCAGAAGACGACGACGCACATAATTGCCATTAATCTTCCAGTTAGTAAAATTCGACAGTTGAAGGGTGAAAAAGTAGTTAGGCCAGAATGGATAACAGACAGGTTTTATTCTTTTTTTTAATTATTTGATCTCAAATTTTCTAAACTAAAATATATTTATTTTAGTTTTAGTTTTTGATTTTTCAAACTAAATCCATAAATTGTAAGACTCTAGATTACATAGATTATCTATAGATTGATTCAAATAAATCCAAACCCAAATTTGATTTCCATTCATTCATTTAAGATTTATAATAAAAATTACAGCTGTCCCTTGATAATCCGACAGGTATGGGACCAAAGGGGTGTCGGATTACCAAAAGTGTTTACATATTTGGCATTGTTTTGCTAGCAGTAGCCTACAATATTCCCTACTCCAACTGTTCGAACAGAACTGCTCACGGAAAACACACGAAATGTGTGTCATCGTGTAAGAATTGGGTGGGGAGATTCATGTCGCGACATGCTTCTGTGCAAGCAGACACATAACGGGGATGGGTACCTTGGCGGGAGGTGCGTCGGACTACTGAACATGTTGGATTATAAAACATCTGACTATCAAGAAACAGCTATATTATAAATCTTAAACGAATGAATGGAAATCAATGAGATATTCAGGAAATATTCCTCCACTTATGTTGAACACAGCACATCACAGCGAGTATTGGAAGTGCGTTCTTCTGTCAGGCATATGTCAATGTATCACTGCATGTTGTTGATAATGCATCTTAATATTTTGGATCTCATTCCTAATGTTATTCTCTAAGATGTCAATCATGTGGAGTTTGTTAAAGTATATTCTTTCCTTAAGACAGCCAACAAAAAAGAAGTCTGGGCCATTAAGATTGTATGGCCATGGCACCCACAGATTCTAGATGACACAGTCCTCAAAAACTTTGAATTCTCATTGTCGACTCGTGTTATCTGGCAAGTTGCTCAATTTTGCTAGAAGTAATCCTGTGTCAGCTCAACAAATTCTGTGAAAATCCACACATCTGTAGCAGTGTTCGGTGTTTCTCTAAAGAAAAAACGGATTGAGTTGTGCCTTCTGTTATCTAGTATCCAGTTCCAGCAATTGTTATGTTCAACATAAGTGGCGGTATGCTTCCTGAAAATCTCATTGATTTCCATTCATTCATTTAAGATTTATAATGAATTTGGCTTTAAGTCTATAGAAATCACACTGTAGAAATCTGTAAAAAAACATGGATGGTATATTCATATTAGTATCTGCTCATTGTATGGATTGTACCAGTTTGTCTTAGTGAATGGTAATTTTCCTTGATACTTTATTTAGCTCCTTATCAAGTGACGAGATAATTCCAAGAATAAAAATGAGTAGAGCGGTTGGCTTAAGAGAAGAGAATGGTTGCTGATCGCAATGTTTTTTTCTTTTACTATTAGTGAGTGATCCAGTAGATGCTACTGTTGCTCATGAAGTGCTGTTAGAGTATATACGAAGGGACTAATTTAAATTAAAAATCAACATTTTAAACAAAAATAAACATTATGATTATCATTAAAAATATTTTGTTAATTACATAAGTTTATGCAACAAACAGGATATACTTCCATTCTATTACTGTATTATTATAATTTATCAAATATTTAAAACAGTTTCATGGTTTATTAACCTGTACAATCCATACATTGCTTGCCACAGAAGTGATGGCATTTTCTTTCTCTGAAGAGCACTCAGAGATCTATTTAGTTTGTAGGCTGAGCTCTTTAATGCTTCTCCCCATAACTCCTTAGTGATTCCTGAGTCAATGAGTTTTGTGCAAATCATGTTTAACAAAGTTTTATTTATGCGTTCAGCCTTTCCTCCCATCTGTGGGCTGTAGCTCATAGTATATTCCAATAGTATGCCATTGTGTTTTGCAAATTGTTCGAATTAAATTCTCCACCATTATCCAGTCACAGTCTTTTCACTGTAAAATCATGCTGAGGTTTCATTTCCACCCCTACTTACAAACAGATTAGGTTCCTGAGGTTTTCACATAAGTCAAAACTAACCTAGAAAGTAAGTACATTTGTACACAGAATAACTACATGTTGTTAGTGTTTGATCCTTCAATATACCTAATTGAATACATTATGTTCATTTACCCTCTTGCTACTGCTTAATAGCGGGTATTTCAGAGATTTTTTTCCACCAAATGAACTTAGTTTTATAATGTCAATTTTAGTTTCCATAATAATAGAACCACACTTCTTGCATTTATCTCCACTGTTAGATTTACTATTGCATTTTTGAAGCACTAATCATAAAAGTTTATAAAAATTGCAAACAATAGTGAAAAAAACTTGCTTCAACGTTACCGTCTTTAATGCCACCTCACAAGTGGTGATGGAAGGTCAAAATTCCTACAGAAATGAAGAATGACAACACGCAATAGAAATAAATCCACATTAATTTATTTACTAAAAATGTATTATTAATTACTGGCTAAAGACTGACTTAGATACCACACCTCACAACTGGCAAGACTTTATCTTTTTATTTCAATTGTATTATTAAAGACCTCAATTATCAAAAACATAGATCATTGAGATTTCACTGTAAATACCAACCAAAACAACCAAGCCCTAATAATCAAATGATAAGGTCATATTAACTATCAGGCTACAACTGACTAATTAATGTCACATATATATTATGTAATTTTGACTTAAGGAAGGCAATTATGCTCCTATCTTATATTAAATTTAATTAATTAATTAAAAATTTAATATAAGATGGAAGTGTAATAACTTAACTTTAGTCCAGATTTCGTAATATAGTATATATGACATTATTTAGTCAAGTTCTGGCCCACTAGTTAATCTAACCTGATCATTTGTTTACTGTAAATTATTGTTATTTAAATCTTGCACACTAAACAACATATTTATTAATCAAAGTTTTAATAAAAACATACAATTAAAACTTAATTGATTAACAATCTTTTTAATTTTAAAATTAAAATCATTTCTCAGTATTTAGGTTAGGATAGGAAGGTTCTAAGGTCAACACAGTCAAAATTATTGAAATTATTGACTTAAAAACTATAGTATAGTTTGCTTCTTGTTTGGTTTTAATAATCTTGATATACTTCTGGGTATTTGATGCCTTTTCTCAAACTTATCATAACCATAAATGACTTAAAGTGACTGTTTTTTTCATTTTATTTCATTCCTATGTATTAACTTCAATGTGCATTTTGGAGCCCACCAGTAGCCAAGTTGATAAAACCACCAAACATTGGTAGTTGGTTATGGGTTTGTGACTCAACAACAGACTGGCCACATAGAGTTTTCCAGGTTTTCTTCACATTTGTAGCACCTAAATAGAGGTTGGTTTCCATAGAAAGTCCTCTCGGATGGCATCCCCCTTCAACAGATTGCCCACATGTCATATTGCCATATATAAATAAATCAAACCAACCAATGTGTGTTTTGGACATATTACTCGTCCCTCCTCAGTTACGTTATCATTAAGACTGAGCTTCCCGAAGCCCAATACAATGATACTCAACCAAACAATCACTGTAATTAATCGGGCTATAAACTTTTAAGTTGATAATCTCATTCTTAATGATGTAACTGAGGAGGGACAAGTAATACATCAAAATGCATATTGAAGTTAATACATAGAAACAAAATAAAATGAAAAAAACAATCATTTTAAGTCATTTTCGGACATTGTGATAAGTTTAGGAAAAGACATCAAGACTTAAAATTATTTATTTTTATTATTTTTGAAAATAATTTATTACATATCTTTATATATTTCAGTATCAAAGCTGGAAAACTTTTACCAGAATCTAATTACTACCTATATAACTTGAGCAGAAATCAACAGACATTAAACTTTGTCAATAACAATGAAATAAATAATGATTACAAATCAACACATTCAGAAATCAAAGATGGTGATTATACAGATTTGCTCGAAGCCGGGTGTTCGAATTCAAACTTAAAGAAATTAGATGATAATCAGTTAGAAGTATCAAGTGTTAGAAGTGAAGAAAATAAAATTTTGCATGAAAATCAAAACACTGCAAGTCCTTCAGATAAGTCTAAATCATCTCTAAGAGCCGGCGATCACAATTTTCTTTCCGAATTCTATAATCACTCGAGACTGCATCATATTTCGACTGCAAAATCCGATTTTCAAGCTTACGTCACCGAATTACGAAACGATTCCAACAGGAGCTTTCCAGGATTTAATTACCTTAAAAATGAATTCCAAAATAGGGAAGAAGTATATACAATCAATAGTAAAATATTTATGCATATTGACATGGATTGCTTCTTTGTGTCTGTTAGTTTATTAAATCATCCACACCTTAAAGGTAATCAAATTTGATTTATTTATCTTAGACATTCTTAAATTTAATTTAATCATTTTAATTTATTAGGCAAACCAGTTGCAGTTACTCACTCGAGAAGTTGTTTTCGTCCTCCTCCACCCGGAAGTAACAGGCAATATGAATATAATTATTACAGGGAAAAACATAAAAGAGATTTGAAAAATTTGGGCGATAATCGTGACTTACTTGATGCGGTAGATGAGTTTGGATCGACATCTGAAATTGCAAGTTGTAATTACGAAGCCAGAAAATATGGATTAAAAAATGGATTCTTTTTGGGTGAAGCAAAAAAGATGTGTCCAGAATTAGTGACCATTCCATATGATTTTGAAGGTTATAAGAGAGTATCGAAACTTTTATATGATATAGTTGCAAGGTGAGTGCGATATTTAGTAATATTTCATTTGTTAAAGCAGTGAAGTTAATTCTTTAGTTAAATTTTAAATTTCTATTCTAATTGCATCAGTCTGGAATTGATGCGTAAGGATTGGTTTACAGTCCGATGGCAGTGTGGCACTACAGCGACAGAATTTATGAAAAAGCAATTAATTACAGACTTACAAGAGTTTAACTACATTTATTGTTTCCATTCTGTTAGATATTGAACTACAAATGCACACTTCTGGTTCAGGCTCTTCAACTTCAATGTTTTATACCAATATCACACTGTGCCGAGTTAGCCACTTGCCAGAGTTTGATTATAAAATGGACGATGTTCTTCTCTACATTGGTGATAACCTTGAAATTCCACAATTCGACTATAAACTGGCCCATAACTGGCATTCAAACTCTAAATACGGCACACCTTAAGGCAGAATTTTCAAATTCTGATAACGATGTATTTACGGGCATAAAATTTTAAAGAAAATAATTCCAACTTATCAATAATTAAAATTTCTACTATATGGTGATTTATCTCTGTAGTAATTTCATTAAATTAAACTAAATCTTTGTTTATAATTTTTTAAATGTTGCAGCTATACACTTGATATACAAGCAGTCAGTTGTGATGAAATGTTTATCGATTGTAACAAAGTCCTAGAAGAAACAAAGGCTACTCCTTTAGAGTTTGCTTCTATTTTAAGGAAAGAAATCGAAGATAAAACCAGTTGCGCGGCCTCTGTAGGAATAGGTAAAGTAGGAGTAAAATTTATAAATAAATTTTTATCTGATGTTATTATTTTTTCTAATATTTTTAAAGTTTTTATATAGGCAGTAACCTTCTCTTGGCTCGATTAGCTACCAAAGTTGCCAAACCAAACGGACAATATATGGTAGGTGATGACGAGAAAGATGAATTTATGAAAAAGCAATTAATTAAAGACTTACCAGGTACATATGTAGTTTATAAAATTTTAAAAATTATCCAAAAAATATAATAAAATATTTAATTAATGATAAATCTTGAAGGTGTTGGTTATGCACTACAGAAATCCTTAGAGTCAATGAATCTGAAAACGTGTGAAGATCTCCAATCGATACCGCTCGGTAAACTGCAAGATACCGTCGGACGAAAGACAGGCTTAATGTTACACGAATATTCTCGTGGGATCGATTCCAGAGAGATAAAAACAGATAACGAACGAAAATCTGTATCTGCCGAAATAAACTATGGGATGAGATTTAAAGAATTACATGAAGCCACGAGTTTTTTAAAAGAATTATCCGAAGAAATTCAAAATAGATTATTGAAAAACGAAGTGAAAGGAAAATCTGTGACATTGAAGTTAAAGGTTTGTTTTAATATATTCTGAAAATATTTATAAAATATTAAAAGATTTGTAATGTATAAATTCAAATAATACAAAATCTGACACAAAAATGAAAAGACTGATTTTACAACTTGAGAACCAACAAAAGGAGGTGAGAAATAAACAGACGATACTATACTCTCACTGTAGATTTCAATATACATCAAACAGCACGGCGGTGAACCATAATATGCTAAGATGTGTTCTGATATTCACTGATGAGTTTATTAGTACAGCAACCATTGTACATCACACACATCAGGCTATGGATATGGTGAGCTGTGATGAATGAATATGGCTACCTTCACGGTCATACTATTAATATTATTTTTACTATTCATCTTTATTAACTCAAACTTATTTTGACAAAATAAGTCTACAAATGCCAACATAGCACTGTTTGCTTCTGCTGCTTGTGTGGTTGCCAGACTTTCTGGTAAAAGCTTATTAAACCATTCACTAGTGTTTTGGTTGGGGCTGAGACTGATGCATATTGGAATGTACAGTATTTGTGTGACAGTACTCTTACTAATAATTATTGCTATTATCATATGAAGTATTTCTAAATTATTTTATTTTATTAGATAAGAAAGGATGATGCACCAAAGGAAACCTCAAAATTTATGGGCCACGGCGTTTGCAATAATATCACAAAAACACTTCAGTTAGCAAATGCAACAAATAATTCAGTAACTATTAGCAAAGCATGTACTGTTCTACTACAGAATCTCAAGACAAATCCAGAAAACATAAGAGGAGTGAGTTTTTTGAATAGATAATTTATTAATAATTGTAAAATTATACTAATTCTATAGTTTTTTTAAGATGGGTATACAAATAGGTCGACTGGAGAAGTCATCCGAAAAAGTTACGGAAAAGAATCGGACACTGCTTACATTTCTCAATCAAGGGCCGAGTGAAAATAAAAGTTTACCAAAGTGCCAGAATTCAAACTTTGATAATTCTACCGAAAATGAATATTTGCCAGAAGTAAGTGCAAAAACATAAATTTTATTTATATCTTAGATTTATTACTGGATGGATAACAGATTTCTCTAGTTTTGAAGTACAGATTGTCTTTGGCTTTCAGGCAACTTGCTCTTAAATACAGGGTGTTGAAAAATTACTATACATTGAGAAATTTGTAATGACATTAAAATTATATGTATAATATTACATACAAGACTCACAAAGTTTTATGTCCCACATCTCCACTTTGCATTCTGTTGATGCATTTATACTATTGCTAAACCAAAATGCATTTTGACTGTACATTCCTCTTCAGTTGGCTACAATATAACAAACATATTTATTGCTAAAAAACAGATTTAATATGTATTAAAATGCAATTATTGAAATATAACAGACTTAACGTGATTAGGGTGCTCTAATGTTTTTATAGAATACATACTATAAATCTTTTAAAATAAAGTGGCCATATAAATAACCAAAAAAAAATGTTCATCAGTGGTCCAATATGAATTTTATAATTCTTTAATATATAGGCATTATGCAGCATTCTTACAGGTTTCAGACATTCCAACTGCATGGCTTGTTGACATTTACATTACATTTTACTTTATTTGACTTTAAATCATAACAAATTAGTACAGTTTGTTAATTATTGTACATTTATATTGTTAATTATTGTACAGCTATATCTGGCAACACCGACAAAAGTATTCTGTCGTCAGAGGTTCGTCAATTTGAAATGTTGTAAATAAGTTCCGCTAGTCAGTAAAGTTAAGTAATAAAAGAACAAAAGAAAAACGAAAGGTAATGCTTCATTTTTTGTCTTAACATGGTAGCAGAGCGTGGTTAAAAGAAAAAAGAACGAAAAAAAAAAAAAAACANAGTATTTGTGTGACAGTACTCTTACTAATAATTATTGCTATTATCATATGAAGTATTTCTAAATTATTTTATTTTATTAGATAAGAAAGGATGATGCACCAAAGGAAACGTCAAAATTTATGGGCCACGGCGTTTGCAATAATATCACAAAAACACTTCAGTTAGCAAATGCAACAAATAATTCAGTAACTATTAGCAAAGCATGTACTGTTCTACTACAGAATCTCAAGACAAATCCAGAAAACATAAGAGGAGTGAGTTTTTTGAATAGATAATTTATTAATAATTGTAAAATTATACTAATTCTATAGTTTTTTTAAGATGGGTATACAAATAGGTCGACTGGAGAAGTCATCCGAAAAAGTTACGGAAAAGAATCGGACACTGCTTACATTTCTCAATCAAGGGCCGAGTGAAAATAAAAGTTTACCAAAGTGCCAGAATTCAAACTTTGATAATTCTACCGAAAATGAATATTTGCCAGAAGTAAGTGCAAAAACATAAATTTTATTTATATCTTAGATTTATTACTGGATGGATAACAGATTTCTCTAGTTTTGAAGTACAGATTGTCTTTGGCTTTCAGGCAACTTGCTCTTAAATACAGGGTGTTGAAAAATTACTATACATTGAGAAATTTGTAATGACATTAAAATTATATGTATAATATTACATACAAGACTCACAAAGTTTTATGTCCCACATCTCCACTTTGCATTCTGTTGATGCATTTATACTATTGCTAAACCAAAATGCATTTTGACTGTACATTCCTCTTCAGTTGGCTACAATATAACAAACATATTTATTGCTAAAAAACAGATTTAATATGTATTAAAATGCAATTATTGAAATATAACAGACTTAACGTGATTAGGGTGCTCTAATGTTTTTATAGAATACATACTATAAATCTTTTAAAATAAAGTGGCCATATAAATAACCAAAAAAAAATGTTCATCAGTGGTCCAATATGAATTTTATAATTCTTTAATATATAGGCATTATGCAGCATTCTTACAGGTTTCAGACATTCCAACTGCATGGCTTGTTGACATTTACATTACATTTTACTTTATTTGACTTTAAATCATAACAAATTAGTACAGTTTGTTAATTATTGTACATTTATATTGTTAATTATTGTACAGCTATATCTGGCAACACCTGCAAAAGTATTCTGTCGTCAGAGGTTCGTCAATTTGAAATGTTGTAAATAAGTTCCGCTAGTCAGTAAAGTTAAGTAATAAAAGAACAAAAGAAAAACGAAAGGTAATGCTTCATTTTTTGTCTTAACACAGTTATATAATTATATGCATATAAATCAATTAATTTAACCGCTGTCACAAATAATGTGACAATGTTAAAATTTTCTCGGCTTCTACGGACACTCAATGAAACTAACGCCTTATATCATATCATTTCTGCTTTAATTTTTAAATAATTATACCAGGATTTATCTAATTCTCATCCTAAATTATTATTAACATGACTTGGGTGCCCATAATTATGTTAAGTCTGTTATTTTGGCAATAATTGCATTTTTATGCATGTTCAATCTGTGTAACAATAATTATGTTTGTTATTTTGTAGCCAGCTGAAGAGATTCATATGGTCGAAATGCATTTTGGCTTAGCAATAGTTTAAATGTACCAATAAACTAGTAATCAAAGTGCAATTAATCTGTTTTTGTAGGTCTTAGAACCAGACTAGTGTAGTATAATCAGAATACAGACAAAAAAACAATATATTAAGATAATGATTTAATCTTTTACGCATTCAGCATCAAACGTTTTGCTGGCTAGATGTTTATTATTTGTTTTAGTTTTTAAAGAATCATTGGGAACTGGACTGTGAGTGTGATATTCTAAAACTTCCCACTTAGAAAAAGAATCAACTGCTATGTTGCTTTTGCTGCATGTGCCTTAGTTTTGTTATGCAACAAGCAGATGACCTTTGTCCGCAATCCACATTTTTGTATTGCATTTCTGACTTTTTACAGTATGTTTTGAGACATTAAAGGGTTTGTAGTGGCTCCAAGAGTAAAAATACTTCACAATTTATAACCGTTTTCCATTAATAAAGGTCACAGTTACTCCTAAAAGTAATATAATGAAAAAAATTATCATTAATTTTGAAATTTGTATTTTTTTTTTTCTTTACTAGATTGATCCTGATATATTTGCATCACTCCCAGAAGAATTACAGAAAGAAATTACCCTTCATTACAAAAGCAAAGGCAAAGATATTAATTTTGGAACTAATAATTCGTCAGCATATAAATTAAATTCTGCCAAAAATCATTCCGAAAACAACCGGTCTAATGAAATACAGCACGTTGCTCTTCCAAATTTTTCACAGGTATGATTTAAAATTTATGTTTTAGTCTATATTATAAAATACTCTCAGAAATGTTATACATAAACTACTGGATAATTTAATGATTTATTCTAAGTTGGCCTAAACATAAATAATTGGAAAATTTCAACAATTAATTAACCTTTATATACAGTTAGACTGAGGCTTCTTAAACTGCGGGTTGTGACCCGAAAGGGAGTTGCATAACCGAATGTGGGGTCACAAAAAACTTGACAACAATAAAATTTTGTACTAGGTATTTATATAAAGCAGCTTTTCAGCATTGACAATTATCAAATCAATAATCATGAAAAAATGTTGAAGATGCTGTGCATTCTGCAGTATCAAATATTCAGCCAAGATTTAATTCTTTATATAAATATAAATGAATACGTCTATCTCATTAGTATGCAAATTTGCTTTCCCATTAATAAATGGTAAAATAATACATATAACAAAGAATACTTTATGATTTATCATCAGTGAGCAATTTTATTTGTATATCTATTTTATATAACTATATAACTGGTTGCATAAAATTTTCATGGGTAAAAGAGGGTTGCGAATGGAAATTGTTTAAGCTCTGAATTAGACTAAAGTTACACAACTTGGGGATTTACAATTGTACAAAAATAATTTAAGTACAGCTCATTTCACAGTCTACTTACTTAGTGAATGTGACATATTGATGAGTCTACGTGGTCAAAGTGCATTGTCAAAAAGGAGCTCTCAAACTTTATAAAACTTCCAGAGCCCAACTGAATACCATGCATTACCCAGCCAAGATGTACAAAGCAGTCCGTAAAGATCATTTTTAAGTTACGTAGAAGGTAAGGAAGAAAGGAACAAGTTTTATATAAAACTATTTTTCCTTCTTCTGAAGATTATATTCCCAAGATTAAAGATTGTTTCAATATTCTATTAGTCATTCCTGACCTACAAAAAATTCAAATTATAAAAGTGATGGTTCTAATACTTCTTTTTAAGTTGAGGAGAGATTGAAGTCTGAAAATAACTTGGAAATTTGGCAATTGATTTGGATTTTGCTTATATTGTTTTATTCTGTAATTTTAGATTGATCAGACAGTATTCAATGTTCTCCCGAATGAAGTAAAACAAGAAATAATGGATGCTTACAGCGAAAGAAGCATTCACCCGTTGATGCAGAAATCTCCTATAAAAAACCCATTTAAATCGCCCAAAAAGTCTCCAACTAGCAAAAATAAAACGTGGAAGAAAACTAAAACAAAAATAAAAAGTCCCACGAACAATCTCTGTACAAAAACTATAGATACGGTTATAAAAAGTGCAACAATTACAAAGGAGGAATTCACTCAGAAACCTAATCTGTGCGGTGCCACCTCTTTAGATGATGTGAAGCAGTTACTATCGGAATGGGTAGAATTTTCACCCGGTAAGTTTTTTTAATAAAATTATTGTTTAAGATAATAAAGACTAAATCGCGTAAATTTTTTAGTTCCGCAGGATGACGACATAACAATGTTCTCACAGTACATAGTTGATGTCGCGAAAGAAAAGAATTTAGAAAAATTAGACAGGATAATTAAATATTTACACAGGTTTGAATGTTTTTTTTTTTATTTTTTATACTCTATTTTAGAAGAAATTTGCTTATGTACGATCATGTATTTGCAGGTTAGTAAAGAATACATCCAATGAAGACTGGCAGACAATGTTTAAGAACATAGTAAGCTCAGTTCAGTCAACAATGATGCAGATATACGGAAGTGTGTTAAAAATAGATATTGGGTTTTGAGTGTTATATTTATATATACTTAAAATTGTTTTATTGTTAATATAATAGAATAGTTAATATAAAAACCACAAATTTTTGTTTAATAAAAACTATGTTTTTGATATAAAAATGTTAGTTGCTCAATCCAACACAACTTTTTCTTATAAAAGTCACAATTCTTAATTGTCGTTAAGCTGCAACTCGATTCAATACTCGAAAGCTCTCTTGGTTAAAAATCATGCAAATACTTTCACTTTGACGTATCAGAAATTAAATTTGAAAAATCAGCAATGAGTTGCTTAACTTTCCTGACTCGACCAAGAAAGTTTGCAGCACACTCTTTTGTCATATACTGTTCACCAAGTTATGTGGCTCCAAGCTTTACCCCCACCTTTATAGAAAAATTTTCAAGGACACACTTCTCTATTATGTTATTACAACCAGAAAATAATAATTCTGTACCACACCATCTGTCATAAAAATTATTTAAGAGATATTAAACAAAACAGACACCAACACAAATTTTTTACCAGTTTTTTACCTCGGGTTCAGGGGATATGAAAACATCAAGCCTTGCAACCCAGTGTGTCAAATTTCACATGATTATAATACTTTCTTTTGTTTATATATACGAGGGCTGTTCAAAAAGTATCGGACCTTTGGTCGGCAAAAATACATTTATTGATTTTGAGGTACAAAACCCTAATCCCCTTCAAAGTAGTCTCCTTGGTAGTGTATACACTTCTCCCAGCACTCCTGCCATTGCTGGAAACACTGCTGGAATGCAGTGTTTGGAATGGCCATCAGCCTGTCCGTTGCATTCCGCACGATGTCTTCTTTCAACTCAAATTGGGTTCCTTTTAGTGGCATTTTCAGCTTGGGAAATAGCCAAAAGTGACACGGAGCCATGTCGGGAGAGTACAAAGCATGACAAACCACGGGAATGTTGTGTTTGGCGACGAAAGTCTGAATTAGATGCGCAGAATGGGTGGGTGCGTTATCACGATGGAACTGCCAAGCTTTGGTCGACCACAGATCCGGTCGTTTGTGTTGCACAGCATCACAAAGACAACAAAGGATCTCCTGGTAGTACTCCTTTGTGATGGTTTGGCCTTGTGGTGTGTACTCATGATACACCACCCCATGGGAGTCGAAAAAATTGTCAACATGACCTTGATATTGCTGCGGACCTGCCGCGCTTTTTTGGCCTCGAGGATCGTCCCCGAAAGCCCGCTGAATCTTGCGAATGATTTTCGCTTGGGTATCGCAAAGGTTTTTGGCAAAATTTGATGCAATATTGCTGCTCACATTGTTCAATCATTTTCCAACTTAGTGGAATCCAACGAGCACTCACTACACATTCTCACTCATAGGCCAACTGCCAGCAACTGATACTTCCTGCAGGCGGGAAAAAATTCAGGACTGTGCATGACTGTCTCCTCCACAACTCCACCAAAAGAGGCCTCCCGCGCATCATTGGTTTATGCGGAAAAAATAAAGGTCCGATACTTTTTGAACAGCTCTCATATATATACATATATTGGGACAAATTATAATTTACTTATAACTTAATTGGGATAATAACTTAAGTATATATATATATTACATACACGAGAAGAGGTATTTTTGCACTTTAAAATCATAGTTTCCTTTCAAAATTGGACAAAAAGTAAATTATATTTGTCCCAATTGAGTTGTTTCCTTTGGTCCAATTTTGGATGATGATTACAATTTTAACGTCCACTGTCTCACAAGATCTACATCTGTATCATCTGTTACCACTTAAATTCTAATCCAATATTAACAATTGCATATTAACTTTAACATTCTGGTAGCAAATTCACTTTTATCTGATAAAATTGTATAATCTCCAAATGTCTCGGTAAATTTTTGGTTGATGCAAAATTTCTGGAATTTTAGTTTTATTGTGCAACATTTATTTTTTTTAAAAAAATCCAGCGACGAGTTGCATAACTTTCCAGCAAAAGACAGAGACAAATTAGCATAAAGTTAAAATTGCATGGGGCACTATCTGTTAAAAGTTTTTTTTTTTTTTTTTTTACAATAAAATCTCTCATTATTATAAACAGTCCATTTAAATTTTCATTTATATTTCAAATATTGTATTTTTGATATTTCGGGGCTCGTTGCGAGGGCATAGCTAGACAAACTATAGTAGGGCCGTCTAGCAAATTGTGGGATGCAACTTTTAAAATCGCAAACGGTTTTTTTAAATTACCTCTGTCCATCTTATGTCACGTGACAGTTGGGAATAAAGATGTTCTGAACTTATGACTCATTGTTCACAAATACACACACACACAATTAAAATTAGGTAAAATATTTCTTATAATAGAAAATTTTTTTAACTAAATGCTACTACCTCATTTAATTAATTTAACATTATCCATTTCTTATCTATATTATCCTATATAATGTATCCCATTTCATCGTTTCCAGCTGCTCCATTATAGGTTTGGACAGGCCCATAATTCAGCAGCTGGGGCAAGGGACAAAACCCAACATATCCGGACAGTCCATCTCGAAAAATTCCTGGGGATTTCCAACCCATCCTAATTTGATCCCTGGCCTGCCACCTAAAATGCTTGACCATCTGACCATACAGGAAAAGGGCATGAGTACCCTTTAATATTTAAAAAATTTTTGGACTTATTAAAATAATGTACAGTCAATGACAAAAGTGCCATCTCACACCGATCAGAGTGAAGATGACAGTGATGCCAACTTAGACGAAAATAATCAGGATGAGAAAATGTAGTATGCCTTTATTGGTTAGTGATTTTGGCAAGAAGAGCTTCCAAAAGGCATAACTCTTAACTGTTCTTGCACAAAAACCTTGGAGCAACTCCAATGTCACTTCAATGTAATGACAATTTTTCTCAATCGTGCCCGTACCACCCACACCCTAAAGTGAAAATTTGTATTTCCGTGGATTATCAAATGACTTAGTTTTTTGGTATGCATTGCTCTTGGAGCAAACTATTTAAGGAGAACTTTTAAGTCTGTTCAGGGGTTTTCATGACGGGTGACAACACAATGTCGTCAATCAAATTTCACATAATGTGTAATTCAGACCAGAGCCAACTGGAGGTTTTATAAGGTCTTCATATTTATTTTTTTGTAAATCAAATTTCTTAGATCAAGGTCCTGCACTTAAACTTCTAAGGCCTGAAAAACTGAAATCTGAGCCAGCCCTGACTCAGACTATCAAACAAAAATCATCTTCAAGGGCAGGTTAGAGGATAACAAATCAATTAGACGTCATTCACTGCCGACGAGCATTTCCAAACAGACCCAAAGCCTATCTTATGACAAAACTTATTACCCAGATTCCTAGAATTTGTACTATCGGATTAAGCCAAAGTATCAACACTGCTTACCTCAAAGTAAACAGTTTGAGGCAAACAGCTTATCTAAACCCTCCCACTATACAGGGACAATATGGCACAGCTCGGTTGAATTTGAAGTAGGAAAATAGTATTTTAATACTATTCTATTTCAAATTCAGTCCTGCTCTGGACCAAGCATAGTATTTAGTTCAAGTTTATCAAGGTGGAGTGTTATTTTAAATCATTAAACAAGAAAAACTTTGTAATAACATTTTATTTTCGAAATTAACGTGGTTTTAATAATCACTTGTGAATAGGAACAACTGTACAGATTTGAATTACAAATGTGAAGTCAGTCTAGACTAAAGCCAAAAGTTGATACTGTTCTGGTGAGATTTCTTTTTTGTTTAAATAAAAATCACAGGAAAGATATTAGGAATTAGGAACATGACATAACATCACAGACTTTAGGCAGAATAAACAAACTATCCAGATTAATCTTTAAAGCTAATTACGCACAGTTCGTGCACCAAGTTTAGCACTAAAAAGGCATAGAAGTTTAGCCTTGTTTGAACATGTACTTGGCTAAGTCGACTACACGGTTGCTGTAACCATATTCGTTGTCATACCTGGAAGAAAGGGAGGGAAAAAAAAGTTACAAAGTTGCATTTAGTAGGACTCTTTCCTAAAAATTCAAAAAAAAAAATAAGTGAACATACCAGGAAATCAATTTCACGAAATTTTTGGTCAATGAAATGCCAGCGCTTGCATCAAAAATGCTGCTGTGGGTGTCTCCGATGAAGTCGCTGGACACAACTTGGTCTTCTGTGTAACCCAAGATTCCCTTCCAGTTATCGCTTGCGGCGGCGGCTTTTACTGCTGCTTTGATTTCATCATAAGTTGCATCTTTGGATAGTCTGCAGGTGAGATCCACTACAGAAACATCGGGAGTGGGAACACGGAAAGCCATGCCGGTCAATTTTCTATGGAAAAAAAAAAGTTATGAAGAGAATGGAACAGGTTTTAAAAAAGTTGTAAGCAAAATAAGAGCATACCCATTCAATTCTGGAATAACTTTTCCTACTGCTTTTGCAGCACCTGTAGATGCTGGAATAATGNTCACAAGATCTACATCTGTATCATCTGTTACCACTTAAATTCTAATCCAATATTAACAATTGCATATTAACTTTAACATTCTGGTAGCAAATTCACTTTTATCTGATAAAATTGTATAATCTCCAAATGTCTCGGTAAATTTTTGGTTGATGCAAAATTTCTGGAATTTTAGTTTTATTGTGCAACATTTATTTTTTTTAAAAAAATCCAGCGACGAGTTGCATAACTTTCCAGCAAAAGACAGAGACAAATTAGCATAAAGTTAAAATTGCATGGGGCACTATCTGTTAAAAGTTTTTTTTTTTTTTTTTTTACAATAAAATCTCTCATTATTATAAACAGTCCATTTAAATTTTCATTTATATTTCAAATATTGTATTTTTGATATTTCAGGGCTCGTTGCGAGGGCATAGCTAGACAAACTATAGTAGGGCCGTCTAGCAAATTGTGGGATGCAACTTTTAAAATCGCAAACGGTTTTTTTAAATTACCTCTGTCCATCTTATGTCACGTGACAGTTGGGAATAAAGATGTTCTGAACTTATGACTCATTGTTCACAAATACACACACACAATTAAAATTAGGTAAAATATTTCTTATAATAGAAAATTTTTTTAACTAAATGCTACTACCTCATTTAATTAATTTAACATTATCCATTTCTTATCTATATTATCCTATATAATGTATCCCATTTCATCGTTTCCAGCTGCTCCATTATAGGTTTGGACAGGCCCATAATTCAGCAGCTGGGGCAAGGGACAAAACCTAACATATCCGGACGGTCCATCTCGAAAAATTCCTGGGGATTTCCAACCCATCCTAATTTGATCCCTGGCCTGCCACCTAAAATGCTTGACCATCTGACCATACAGGAAAAGGGCATGAGTACCCTTTAATATTTAAAAAATTTTTGGACTTATTAAAATAATGTACAGTCAATGACAAAAGTGCCATCTCACACCGATCAGAGTGAAGATGACAGTGATGCCAACTTAGACGAAAATAATCAGGATGAGAAAATGTAGTATGCCTTTATTGGTTAGTGGTTTTGGCAAGAAGAGCTTCCAAAAGGCATAACTCTTAACTGTTCTTGCACAAAAACTTTGGAGCAACTCCAATGTCACTTCAATGTAATGATGATTTTTCTCAACCGTGCTCATGCCACCCACACCCTAAAGTGAAAATTTGTATTTCCGTGGATCATCAAATGACTAGTTTTTTGGTATGCATTGCTCTTGGAGCAAAACTATTTAAGGAGAACTTTTAAGTCTGTTCAGGGGTTTTCGTGACGGGTGACAACACAATGTCGTCAATCAAATTTCACATAATGTGTAATTCAGACCAGGGCCAGCTGGAGGTTTTGTAAGGTCTTGGGAGAGTTATTAGTGGAGCCGGCATATTATTTTTTTCGTAAATTAAATTTCATAGATCAAGGACCTGCACTTAAACTTCTAAGGCCTGAAAAATTGAAATCTGAGCCAGCCCTGATTCAGACTATCAAACAAATATCAATATTAGAAATATGCCCACAACTACCTCTGCAGTTCAGAATAAAATTGGGTTTTTCACATTCAACTTTGAATTCTGTCACATTCCTTCTTCTAAACAGACATTTTTTTCCTCTTCTACTTGTCTCTTATTCATCGAGAGTCCGTGCACCAATTGATTGGTTTGTGACAACACGAAAAATCCAGAAACAAGTTGCATAACTCTTCCAGTAAATTTTATAACAGATGATTTGGGGGGGTAGTAAGTAAAGTTTTTCAAGACAAGTTACTCACTAAGCTGAGGGGTACTTAGACACCTCATAATACCATTTAGCTATAGATCGGTCTAAAAAATACTGAGTCAATCGAGACCAGCCAAACATTTAAAAGCTTTAAGTTGATCGACGTACTGATTACTACCAGACTCACCTACATCTTCAAGGGCAGGTTAGAGGATAACGAATCAATTACAGATGTCATTCACTGCCGACGAGCATTTCCAAACAAACCCAAAGCCTATCTTATGACAAAACTTATTACCCAGATTCCTAGAATTCGTACTATCGGATTAAGCCAAAGTATCAACACTGCTTACCTCAAAGTATACGGTTTGAGGCAAACAGCTTATCTAAACCCTCCCACTATACAGGGACAATATGGCACAGCTAGGTTGAATTTGAAGTAGGAAAATAGTATTTTAATACTATTCTATTTCAAATTCAATCCTGCTCTGGACCAAGCATAGTGTTTAGTTCAAGTTTATCAAGGTGGAGTGTTATTTTAAATCATTAAACAAGAAAAACTTTGTAATAACATTTTATTTTCGAAATTAACGTGGTTTTAATAATCACTTGTGAATAGGAACAACTGTACAGATTTGAATTACAAATGTGAAGTCAGTCTAGACTAAAGCCAAAAGTTGATACTGTTCTGGTGAGATTTCTTTTTTGTTTAAATAAAAATCACAGGAAAGATATTAGGAATTAGGAACATGACATAACATCACAGACTTTAGGCAGAATAAACAAACTATCCAGATTAATCTTTAAAGCTAATTACGCACAGTTCGTGCACCAAGTTTAGCACTAAAAAGGCATAGAAGTTTAGCCTTGTTTGAACATGTACTTGGCTAAGTCGACTACACGGTTGCTGTAACCATATTCGTTGTCATACCTGGAAGAAAGGGAGGGAAAAAAAAGTTACAAAGTTGCATTTAGTAGGACTCTTTCCTAAAAATTCAAAAAAAAAAATAAGTGAACATACCAGGAAATCAATTTCACGAAATTTTTGGTCAATGAAATGCCAGCGCTTGCATCAAAAATGCTGCTGTGGGTGTCTCCGATGAAGTCGCTGGACACAACTTGGTCTTCTGTGTAACCCAAGATTCCCTTCCAGTTATCGCTTGCGGCGGCGGCTTTTACTGCTGCTTTGATTTCATCATAAGTTGCATCTTTGGATAGTCTGCAGGTGAGATCCACTACAGAAACATCGGGAGTGGGAACACGGAAAGCCATGCCGGTCAATTTTCTATGGAAAAAAAAAAGTTATGAAGAGAATGGAACAGGTTTTAAAAAAGTTGTAAGCAAAATAAGAGCATACCCATTCAATTCTGGAATAACTTTTCCTACTGCTTTTGCAGCACCTGTAGATGCTGGAATAATGTTTTGACCGGCACCACGTCCATCACGCCAGTTCTGGAAAAAAAGAGTTTAGTTCTGTATTTTCAAATTAATTTATATAAAAAATAGTTTAAGTTCATGGTTGCTTGACTTCAGAGAAGTATCCACTATTAAATTATTTTAATTTATATATAAAAAAATAAGTTGTTTCTGTAAAGTTACTTTCATGGATGTGATTGATTACATGGTAATTGCAAGTTGTTATAAGCTAGAAAAGTCAAATACAATGGAATCCTGTTTATCCAGATTCCGTTTATCTTTCTTATTCTGGAGATAGGATTAATGTATGGAAAACCCTATATATCAAAAACAAAAAACCAAAATTACTAACTTATGTAGTACATTATTGCCTGAGTATTATGTTGCAGCTGTAAGAATACTGTGTCCCCCTTGGCTCAAATGCCAAATTTTGAACACCTGCAACTTTATAATAAAGGATCAGGTAACAAAAAAACAGTAAATCGCAATTACTTCAAATAAGTCCTTTGGTTTTCCTATGGAACACTACACCTAATTACTGTATGTTAGGTATATGTCTTTTGCTTTATACTGTTCATATTGTTGTACTGTACACTATAGGCTAGATACTTTTACATCTATTGTATATTATATTTTTATTTAAGCTATTATGTTAATGACTCTTCCAGATTTTTAGTCATCTGGATTGGGCCCTGTTCCATCCGAGCCAGATAAAACAGGGTTCTACTGTATGGCACCTTTTAAAAAGGACATCTTTAATGACATTCATGAAACTACAATCAATAACCTTGCTAATATATACTTAGTAGAAGATGTTTTATTAATAAAATTTAAAATCAAAAGACCAGATTTGAGAAGTTACCTTTCCACTTGGTCCGTCAACAGTCTTCTGAGTGGCAGTAACAGCGTGAACAGTTGTCTGGAAAAAAGATTTTTAGATGTAAAAACTATTAAAATTTTAAATAATTACAGGTTATTATTGACAAAGGCAGGGTTACACTTCTAAAAAAAAAAAAAAAATGATATGTTGGGATTTAACTGTATGGTTTAGCCAGTCATTTAGTAGAAAAATATAAAATGAGTATGCCAGTGAGACTGTCATTCCAATTACTGCTCTATTCGTTGAATATTTACTGATCAAACCACAAAAAGATAATAAAAAAGGATGTAAACATTGAATTAAGTGAAGTATAGTAGTAATCTTTGAAAATTTTCAGTGTTGTCAAAACAAATCACTATGAACTAGTGTAATTATAAAAATCTGATTAGAGTGCGACGATTCTGTAAAAGATGTCTAGAATAGTTACATAAATTTACTGCATGCCAAAATGTGTATAAAATCAATATGACGATTTTGTCCATTGATAAAGATCAAGATCAATTAGAATGGATGTAGATATCCATGCTCCTGCAATGGTATTAATTGGACTAACAAAAAACAAAGCATTTTTAAATAATTATTTTGCAAAAACAATACTTTTAGGACAGTGAGAGTTTCTTTCAGGGAAGTTTGGGGATAATATCCCAAGTGAGATAAAGAAAAAAAATTTACTGGTAAAGAAAGGTGCACGTGGCAAAACCAAATGCATTTGCCATCTGAGGTCAGAAAAAAACTCTCCTAGGAGAACATTTACTGAAAGAAACAGTGATAATTGTTTAGAAGACCTAATTAAATCAAGGAAGACCAACTAAATGAAACTAATGGCTCAATATATTAGCTATTCTGTCTTCTGAACAAAAAGGTGTGTGTTTTGCAATCCATTGAAACAAACTCCAGTTTTGACTAACCAATTTATTAATTGGTTTAGAAACTGCTCTTAAGGTGGATAGTTTATATATAAAAATTTATTGAAAAACGAAAACAAAAATTCCATTAGATAGAAGCTTAATGACTTATCCAAAGCTAAATTTCTAAAAATTCATCTGAATTAAATGTTTCAGACTACGATCTTTAATATAGGTCATAATGAATGGGAGGTAAAGTGCTTTACAGAAAACATACTCACCATCAAACCTTCAACAATTCCAAATTTATCATTGATAACTTTTGCAAGAGGAGCCAGGCAGTTAGTGGTGCAAGAAGCATTGCTTACAATTTCCATACTACTTTCGTACTTGTCGTGGTTTACGCCCATGACGAACATAGGAGCATCTGCCGAAGGTGCAGAGATGATTACTTTCTTTGCTCCCCCAGTTACGTGGGCCTAAAATCGTAAGAATAAAAAAGTTATTGAATATTCAAGGTTAAAATACAATAAAAAAAAATCAAAATGAAACCACATATCCACTCATCTCTTAACTTAGGAGTTTAGAGAGGATGAGCAACAAACATGGAGTATAGATGTATAAGATATTGTTAGATTATATGTCATTCTACCGAGTGTCTTCATATAAGAATAGTTGTTTACGTATTACAGGTGAATTAACTTTCTCCCGACAGTTTCTCACGACCATAAAAACTTCGCATTAAATTTTTCTAATATAAAATTAGGGAGAAATTTTACCTTTGCCTTCTCAATTGTGGTAAAGACACCAGTCGACTCAACTACATAGTCTACTCCAATCTTGCCCCAAGGAATTTGAGCAGGATCGCGTCTGTTCAAGAAGAAAATTTAGAGATTCAATAGACAATACTAACTTTAAATAAATAAAAAAAATAGATTAAAAACTTACTCTTGAAAGACGTGAATCTTCTTTCCGTCAATTACGAGAAGACCTCCCTCGGCTTCCACCTTTCCTTTGTACCTACCGTGCGTGGAGTCATACTTAAACATGTAAACCTACAAATTTGAACAGAATTAAACTTATAAATATTGCTTATTATGCATCGCCATAAAATTTTAAGTTTTAAAAATTCAAAAGCAGAAACTTGAATTAAAAAGTGGGGAGACTACACATACTAGTTGCAATTTAACTGCATTTATATTGTTTTGTTTTATGATAATAATTGACTATTAACATCGACACGTTCTAGATCTTAGCCAGGTTAAGATGTATCTCGGGAGTGAACTGACAGAGGAAAGGCAATTCTTTAGCTGCATAAAGTAATAAAAATTGTGCAGCAGCACATGTTATACCAAATCAGATTGAGAATACAGCTGTCCCTTGATAATCCGACAGGTATGGGACCAAAGGGGTGTCAGATTACCAAAAGTGCCCGGATTACCGAAAGTGATTACATATTTGGCATTGTTTTGCTAGCAGTAGCTTACAGTATTCCCTAATCCAACTGTTCGAACAGAACTGCTCACAGAAAAACACACAAAATGTGTGTCATCGTGTAAGAATTGGGTGGCGAGATTCACGTCACGACATGCTTCTGTGCAAGCAGACACGTAACGGGGATGGGTACCTTGACGGGAAGGGCGTCGGACTACTGAGCATGTTAGATTATAAAACGTTGGACTATCAAGGGACAGCTGTAATTCGAAAATGATATTGATCAGATGTTAGAGTTCAATTGTAAATTAGCATTTTCATTAAATGAGTAAAATAATTTTTATGAATGAATTTACATAGACAATGTATTCCTAACAAAAATAAATTTTTTTGATTTCACATCCTTAGCATATGCATCAAAAATTAGGTCTTATAGATTATCATCTTGATTTATCTATTGTAGGTAATGAATTAGCAATCCCACGTAAGACCCAGTATAAGAATCGTATATACCAAAATCTCCGATTTAAAAATAAATTTTTTATTGCTATTAATAGAATGCTGATTAATTGCAGTAAAGTTGATAAAAATTAAAAATTTGGCTTATCATAGAGTCTTTACAAATTAGAGTTTATAAAACTCAATAGAACTTGCTGCCTACAAAAAAAAACACAGAACAAAATACTTCAATTATAGTAAAGAATTTAACGTCTTAAAAACATAAAAAGGTAACTTCAGGTTTTTAAGTTCAAAATTCCAGAGACTAAAAACAAAGCACAAATGTCTTAATTAAAATCAAACCAAGAATAAGTGAATATTTAAGTCAGTTAAAAATATATATATATAAAATACTTGATAAGCATAAAAATTTAAGCCTAAAATACCAATTAAAAATGATATTTTACCATGTAATTAACATCTAAGAAAGGATCGTTGACCGCAAGGACTTCGACATTCTTATCTAATGCTGCACGCAACACCAAACGCCCAATTCGGCCAAATCTAGAGAGATTGTTTGGGAAAAACATTAAAAAAACGTTTCCAAATATTAAAGTTTGCAAGTGATAATAAAAATGGTACCTACCCGTTAATTCCTAATTTTGGACCACCGTCAGACATCTTGAATTATCTAAAAAAAATTAGAATTGATTATTATTGTTATATAGACACTAAACAGTTAATTTATTACATCTTTTAATTCATAACATCATTAAATTTGTTACAAGAGATTAGTACACTATGACAAATGGTTTGTTTTAATACAAGTGAGGAATAGGATCATCATCATCATCAAACCATTAATTATGGAATTAAGAAAACATTTGAATTCAGTCATCCAACTCTGACATATAGGCAAGGAATGAGCTTGTGGGGCTAAAGCACCTTCCAAATTTCAATAGCAGCCTATTGACAATAGCAAAAATGGAGAGATAGGAGTGTAAGATGTCAGCAATGGCCAGTGCCAAATAAAATGAAGTTCCAAAATGAAGTTCTAGCTATAGGCTCGATTCAACTAATACTAACCATATTAAGTACTTTCAAGGCCTTCCTGGCCTAATTTCTTTAGGAGGCATTATACAAATACAGAACAAAAATTGTAACGAATAGCGGAGACTCCTGGGTATACCACGTGTTCGCGCAATTGCACAGACGGCCTTTATATTAGAATATTTTTTGATACGAAAGTTTACAAAATTTAAACGAAATAAAAAGGCCAAATGCAAAAATGATATTTGAAAATTTAGTAACAACTTGAACTGATCAGATGAGTTTTAAATCTGATTTAAAAAGTTCAAATTTGCTAAAATTATAAAAACAAATACATTTCTAAACCCAATAAATTTGTAATATAGACAAACTACCACCAGATTATATCTAGGACAAATTATTTAGAAATTAAATTGCAGAAAAGTAACCAGATATAATCCAGTAGTTTGGCTTAATACAAGCTTCAAGCAAGAAGAAATAATTGAAAAAACTTACTGTTAAATGCATGCAAAATTTAAACAGGTCAAAATACAGACATATATATACACATATATTACCTATTTTAAAATGATGCAATACATATATGCTATTTTAGTGCAATGCAGATGGCATGTGTCAATATTATTGATCCATAAGTCAAATCTAAAAAACCAGGAAGCCGAGCAATGAAAATTTAAGCCTAACCTCTAAGTAACCTTCACACGACCTTTATATGACCTTACGTCAAAAGGATGGCAGAAGTTCACGTACAGAAGTTACAATTAATTTTATCGGTCATTTTAGAAATTCTTACGACGAGCCGAACACTAAAAAACTATTGCTTAATCGTGGATTTATTTAGAAAAAACTTTGAAATTATTATTACATCAATTGTTATGCGCAACAGTTTTAATACAATAATTCTATTTTTATGTAGAATTGCAATAAAATTTCTCCACCTGTAAAATGGAGAAATTTTACTTTTTTGATAATTACAAGAAAAAAGTGTACAAGTTATTATAGCCGCTTATCATACAACGTTGAAATGACAAATGTTTAGTTTTCTCGAAGCTCAATTGTAATTTTACGCATCACACAAAAAACCTGTTATTAAATAGATCTGTCGGGACTAAATACGCTCATTTTGATAACGATAATGTTTTAATTAAACAACAATTTATGCAGCCTGATGAATTCCCACCTTAGGTTAAAAGCCAATTATATATAGCTAAGTTTAAAAATCACAGATTGTCTTATTCTTAAACAAGATTTGAACTGTGACTAATTGTAAAAAAATCAGCCAATATCCTAATAAAAACATTTACAGGGCTCAATTCTTTAAGTTAACACTGACGCACAGTTCCGCGTTAATTCGGCAGCAATCGTCTTCTCATCTCTAGACTAAAAGTTTTGTAGTATTTTACATTGAAACTGTTTAAAATGGGACAAAAAACATGATTTATGAGAAGGCAATTGAAGTGGAAGTTAAATGTATTAGAAAAGATAACATTTATATATTGATTTTCTAAATACTCTAGATAAGATTTTCAAATAATGGATTTTTGTTTGCAGATCACGATAAAGACGGTTGAACTATGTTTGCTATGTATTTTAGTACACTTCACTAATAATCAAAATTAGAAGGAAAGAACTTAATAGAGATGTTCCTCCTATTTTAAAAAATATTTTCTCCATTCTGGATCACTGATTTTATTTACTATAAAAGTTATATAAACAACTTTATGGTGTGATTTAAGACATCATCCATTACAAACTTTAATACAGAAAGATTATAAATGAGTTAAAACAGCACAGTTAAATCAGGCTATTGAAATTCAGATTAACAGATTACACTAACGGAAGTATTCTATAATAAAAATAACTCATCTTACACACTGAACTTAAGGTTATTGAATAGAAAAGTTAAGAATTATTTTTGAACGGAACAGATTATTTTTGCCATAAATTTTTAGCTATTTATAAGTAATTTGACAGTGCGCGCACGTTAAGTAGCAATTCATTGCATTTATGTTATAAACGATTAATTTTAAGGTTTAAAATATAAAAAAAAAATAAGCTTTTGTTCTAAAAACAGTCTTATATACAGAAATATACATAGCAATTCATTGCATTTATGTTATAAACGATTAATTTTAAGGTTTAAAATATAAAAAAATAATAAGTTTTTGTTCTAAAAACAGTCTTATATACAGAAATATACATAGCATTTGAATTATTGATTTTAAAGAAGTTTCTGGATAATGCTGTAATGAGTTACAAATGCTTGAGCTTTTTTCTAATTAGCATTTTATTATAACTTCAACTCAATGTGACCTTTCCCTTGGAACAGAGAGAACAGACCTATCGTCTTGTCTGACAGTTATCTATTATTAGAATCAAAATGAGAGTGAGTGAACTTGATTTTCTTATAATGCACAACTTCACCCGAATTAAGTATAGTCGTTTAGAGCATTTTTTCACTTTACATCATTCAAAAATGCTTTAGCTTTACACCACATCAATAATTACTAAGTTGTATTTCCAGTCAATTATTTGCCATTTTACATTCAATTCTGGAATGTTAAAACAGAAAATTAGGTGTTAACGATACTTATGCAAAAGACTTTAGATCTAAAGTTTAGGCTCGTCCTAAGCCGTAAAAGAGCAATTGAACATCGTATTAAGTTATAACAGCGTGCACTGCTAAAAAAGGTTTCCATGGCAATTTGTGGTTTTTTTTTTATATAGCAGTTTAGTACAATTAAACATCACATTAAGACTTAGCAAGGCTTTTCTACAAAACCAAGATAACTTTCAGCAACAACCAGTAAGTCAAAATCTGAATAATTCACTTTCAGTAGAAGGATATACATATGTATAACTTCCTCCCATTACATACCAAAGCACATTAACAAGCATTTCAAATTTGAAGCAATATTACAAGAAAGGAATATTCAGGATTCTTTTTTGCAAAAAAAAAGGGAATAAAAAGGAAAGAGGATATACCTTTTTAATGGAAGGTTATACCTGGCTTCCTGGAATAAGTAGCCATTTATTTACCTTTTAAAAAACTTTTTATTATTATTATTTATTAAATGATCAGACAGACTTTAGACAAGCCCTCTAGAAAAGATTATCTAGAATTTAAGCAGTACCTCTAGAAAAGATTATCTAGAACCTCTAGAAACCTCTAGAAAAGATTATCTAGAATTTAAGCAGAACCTGTAATTTAAGACAAACCCTAATTTTAAGCTTAGCAAACATCTAAAAGCAGCATTTTTTTTCTTCTTTTTTACTTGAAAACAAACCTCCGAAATAAGAGATTTAAAAACTACAAAAAGAATTCTAGTTCAGAACACAAAGACCTTTAGTTCGGTATCAAAAAAAATTGACGTTACAAGATTCTCTTTTTAATACTGCTAGTATTAAGTAGCAATTTCTTCTGTAATGAGGATATACCTCCCTTTTATACCAAAATTTTGATTAAAAAAAAAAGTTTCCAGAATTCCTGCTCTCTCGGTAAAGGGAGCAGTCCCAGAAACCACTTTAGAATTACACATAAAAGAGCAACTGTTACATCAACCTGGTCAGGCAACCTTTTACTCAGAAGCACCATGAAGCAGGAAACCTTCCTTACATTGTTATAATTTACCAATCTTTATTCTAGATCTAAATTCGAGTGACAATTATGGAAACATTCCAAAATTTAAAAAAGAAAAAGTACCAAAATTAGCTAATATTAAAGCTAAAATCTCCAATTACATTAGTAATAAGAGAATCCTTCCATATTTCCTCAATTTTACACGAAGGATTTCGTACGAATAAAACCAAGAAGGCCATTTTTCCCGGGTGTAATTGAGTAATTAAATTAATTACTCAATTACACGCGGGAAAAAAAATTTGAAAAACGTAACAATGTAAAAAAATTTAAAATCCGAAATCGATTAATTTAAAATTAATCGATTACACAATCGCTTACGTGTGGTTAAAAAAAAAACGGGTAAAATACGCAAAGTTAGAATAAAATTATCGGGTATTACGTTAGAAAATACGTTAGACGAAGGTTTTATACATTAATTAGTGTACTTACGAGTTTAAATAATCTCAAAGAACAGAGAGAAATTCGTCAGACAACTTCTAAACGCCCTTGGCCAAGGTCAGAACGGACAACGTCTCCTTTCCGACTCGTTATATATACCCGAACGTGTTACTCTCGAACCGGTATTGCTACGGTTGTCAACCCCCGTTTACACCCCTTTAATTCACCTACTTTGCTTCCTTTTTTCCCCCCTTACTTACATCACTAACGTTGCTAAAAAGTAGGATGGCTTCCACACCGAAACCTCCTCCGATGCCCAAGTCCATACGTTTTCTCTTTGGAGGACTTGCCGGGTAGGAAAATACAGTATATCGTTTTTAAAATGAATTAAGATCATTTCTGGTTTGTATTTAAAGAAGGATTTAAAATCCTTAAATCGACCTGTTGAGTTAAATTCTATCTTATTGCAATATCCTAGCGATAAGATTAAATATTCTACTTAATTTCTGAAGAATAAATGCTTTAAAAAATGTAATTTTCAGCTTATTTTTAAATTATTTTTTTGTATTTTTTGAGTTTTTTTTTATTGGTTTGTATGTAGGTTATTGTTTCCTACTTGCATAATTTTTTTTTTAAAGTTTAAATGGTAGAGAGCCTTAAAAATATGATTAAATTACTACCTTTTTTTGGCTTCAAACCCTTTATTATTTATGCATTACTCATTTAATCTTCATAAAATTTCTGTATTTAAGTTTTAAAATGGAGAAAGTAGGTTACGTTGCAAAAGTTAAAGTGATTCGCTCCGTTTTTACGCTCGTCGATATTGTAGAGCCGACGAAAGAACGCGTAAATGGTTAAGCGTTCTTGAAATGTTATTTTAATTCTTTTTGCGGTGCTCGAATATAAAATTGGGCGTTAAATAATTAGCGGGATTAGGTCGGATAGTCTGCAATTTTGTCTCGGGTCTCCGTATCCGGGATTCCAAAATTATCGCAAATAATACGCTTAGAAGTATAATTAGATACAGCGTGGTCTGCTTATAGAAGGAATACAAAGCAATGAAACATATTTCAATCTTGTATAACTGGATATGCCATTATTTTGCAGTTACAATGTTGAAAGTAGTATTTGCTTGCCTTTTATCTGAAAGAAACCGACGATGCAACTCGAGGTGACGTGATGAGGGCGAATCCTCCCGGGAGGATTTTTTATAGGAAACTGGTCTCTATTTAGGTGTTATGCACGTTTAGAAAACTCTGTAAACTTTGTGCGGCTGGCTTTTTGGGAGGTGCAAACCTGGGACGACTACCGGTGTTTGGTGATTTTATCTACTCGATCACTGGTGAGGCCAAAGGAAACCGTGTTCTAAAGTTGAATGTTTACAAATAATAGTCAATGATTGAAAATGATGTACCAACACATTTTAAACTTAATGTAATGAAAACCTTCAACAGTGCTAATGTTTTTGGTCATTTTAAATAAGACCATTGTTGGGTGAATTGAACAACAAAATTAGAACATTGTACTGCATTGTTAGGATGAATACATATTTTACAAATTCAAAAATTCTCAAAGTGCGCATGGAATATTACAAAAGTCTTTTTAAACTAAAATCATATTTAAAAATAGGTTTATATTTTTCCAACTTAAATATAAAGCATCAAAAACTGGACTTTGTTAAAAAAAAAAAAAATATTGTATGAACACACCTTAAACTTTCAGCAACGTATAATATTGCTGAAAGTTTAAGGTGTGTTGATACAATTTTTTAACAAAGTCCAGTTTTGATGCTAAATAATTGAAAACAATATGCATATATCTTTTCCTTTAACATATTGAGAAAATCAACTATTATCTCCTTCAGAGCAGTTCGTTCTGAGTTGACACACAGCTGAATAGGAAACTTCAACATTCAAAGCAATTTCACAGATTATTTTTCTGAAAGCTGTTGAGGATCTCCTTTGTTTTTATTTTCACATCTTCCACTGACAAAAAAATGTTCCTTTGAGCACAGAGTTGATCTTTGGAAAGAGATAGAATAGGGAGGCAGGTCTCTGGCAAATAGGATGGGTACTGAAACAAAGTGATGATGGATTAGCTAAAAAATGCTTCACAAAGCATTATGGGCTGGTGCACTGTCTTGGTGCAAAATCCAACAGTTTCCCCACAATTCTTGTGATTTCCTTCTTGCACATTTGCACAATTTTATCAAGACTTTGAGGTAACACTGCATATTTACCATCTGGCTTGCTGGGAACCCACTTTGCCATGTCAATATCCTGGATTTAAAAAAAAAAACAAAAAACATACAACCTGTCTATGCTTTCTCTATTTTCCAAAAATCAGTTGTGCCATTTAAAAATGTGCGTATGAGAGATGAAATCTACACCATAAGCCTTAGTCACTCTGTTACAGTTTACTTCACTTTCACAAGGATTATGATGTTAACTCTCTGTTCAGTCTTTCGCTCCATTTTCCAACCAATGAATATGCATCCACTTCTCCTTAAATTAAAATGGTTGGCAGAATTCTCATGTAAAATCAGAAAGTTAGAAAACAATAATTTTAGTTTGAGTGTGGCTCACCAGTGGCTGAAACCATTGAACATTAGTAGTTAGTCACATGTTTGCAACCTCACCAGCAGGCGGACCACGTGAACTTTTCCAGGTCTTCTTCAAGTGTCTAACACCTAAATAGGAGCCAGTTTCCCATAAAAGTTCTCCCAGGAGCCACTCTTCCTTTAGCAGATTGCCTAAATGTTTTGTTGCCTTAAACCATCGATCCAATCCAGAATTAGTTTGTGTGTATTACACAACTACTGGAAAATAAAGAATAATTTTCAAAATATTGTATAACATTACCCTCACCAGTAATGCTGCAGTGGAAAATGTTTTTCTTGTCAGGATAAATTTTAACACTTAAAGAATGTAGGATGGAAAATTTGAAAAACTTGTATTCTGAGACATGAATTAAATAATTTTAATATTTTAAAAAACACTTATCGATAATGTTTTTTGAGATTGGGAGAGTGATGATATGAGTGTCCACTACAGTGTATTTACACACACAAATTCTACATTTAGTTCTGTTTATTTGGTTGTGGGCTGGAGTGGATGGTATGGGTGGGATCTCTCTAAACTGAAACAACATTAAAATGCATTGAAAAGCTATCATCAGAGTTAGATAGGTCCTCAAAGTTTTGGTCTTCTACCTTAATTAGAAGTAGATGAAATTTGAGTTACAAGATTTGAGAATGATACAAAACAAGTTAAATACAAGTGTTTAATAAATAAAAAAAGTGCTAAATAATAAGGATGAAATGAAAATGAAACTGTTATTTTAATACATTGTAGTGTTTTGTTTCTCTATTTCTGAGTAGTAGTTAAATTACATGCAGTCTGTAATGATAGACACTAACCATCTATTACATACTGCATTTAATCTGGATATGATTTGAATAACAAAAGCAAAATTATTCATTAATTTTTGGATTATTTGTGTAATTTTAACCATTAAAATTATTATGAGTTAAAATAACAGACATACATACGAAACCTAAGTAGTTTTCAACTCGAGATCTATCTTTTGCAAACATCTTTTGATTTTGAAAAGGGTTTATAGAGTTCGGTAATTTAAACACTGCCGGCTAACAGGTAAAGCAGCAAATTTCTTAATATGATTATACCATACATTCAAAAAGTCTTTTTTGCAATGGGTGTTATAGGTTGTGGTTTCACCTTTCAGCTTGTTGATTGGTTTTAGGTGATGCTGGTACATCAGGCAGTGTTGTGTCTGCTTCACTATTCCGTAGCCATGTACAGACAGTTTAATTTGTTGTTTGAATGTCTTCGTTCAGTGTGTGTGTGTTAGCTGCATGGAAAGATGCTAGTCATTAAAGAATGTTTTAAGCTGGTGAAAAATATTCTGAGACTGTGAAACAAAAATTCCAAGAAAGGTTTCCAAATACTATACTTTCACATTGTGACTGTACAGGATATGCTGAGCAAATTTCAGAGCATCAACTTGATGTCAGAAGCCCTAAGAAATGATAGACCTAGTGTGCTGACAACATTGTGACAAAATTATTGTAAATAAATTGTTGAAAAGCTTGTCAAAGTCAGTATGAAGAATGGCACAGGAAACAGAACAACCTAGGAAATATCCACAAAGCAGTCAAAAACACATTATGGTTTTTCCTTTCCCTTTCTTTTAGTGGAATTGCAAACAGCTGATCCCACTAAAAGAATGTGACACTGTCAATAGTTCCTAAACTTTGTAGAAGATCACAGGACCAAAGTGCTGGATGACTGGGCGTGGTTATTATCTACCAGAGTATCTAAATTTACAAAATTCATCGTATTCATCGCACTGAGAATCTCATGCTCTTCAAGAACAGCCACCAAATAGTGAAAATAGTTGGAGTTTGAATAGCAATGTCTAGAAAACAGATTGTGAGACCAATATTCTTTAACTGCATCATCAACTTGGAGAGATATTGCTTAGATATTCTCTATTCATTTACAGGTCATCTAAATGATAGAGAAATTCATGCCTATTATCAATAAGGTGGTGCTATAGCACACACTTGGATCTCTATGAAGCTACTCCAAGATTCTTTAGTGATTGTATTATTTCTCAGCAATCTTAATCACTAAGATTGCCTGATCACCTGATTTTGTTTAAAAGAAACAAAAGGATCAGTGCGTAAAAATAATTTAAAAACATTTGATAAGCTGAAAGAAACAATCACAATCTATGCACAGTCCATCATCATGCAGACTCTTGCAGGTATGTTTGTTAGATTATGTCTTGAGAATGAAGGAGGATACTTTCAGCATTTATGAAAGTAAATTATTGATTTTTGTTATACATTTGTTTGATTTCCATATAACCTTTAATACCTTTTCATAGAAACTTTTCAAACACCATGAATAAAGTGAAACAATTGCTGAATTATATTGCGTTATATTACTACTACTATTATTCATTAAAGAGGCAATCATTAGGTAGCACGCCTTAGAGTTTGGCTGTAGGGGCACTCTTGCTAAATTAATAATTATAATTAAATTAATATTTTAATAATTAATTTAGATCAGATTAGACCAACCCACGGCCCGTCGCGTTAAATTGTGTGGCCCGCTAAGCAATATTATATATCTATTAAAACTTTTGTTTTCCGTTATGTGTATACCAAAACAATTAAATAAATGAAAATTTGCATGTGTCATTGTTATAATGCGCAAGTGCGAGTACGAATTCTTGGTATAACAATAAAATCTTATTCATTTTGTATTTGTTTTACTTTTTTAAAAGCATGTTTGCCTAAATTGTGGCCCACCGTAACGTTACGTGTGATCAAAGTGGCCCACGAAACAATTTGGGTTGGTCAGGCCTGATTTAGATGAACGTTCTTGAAGAAAAGAATTGGCCCAAAGAGGGACTCAAACCCCCAAACCCATTTAATTAATGATAACAGTAGCTGAGCCGTAACTAGGATTTCGGACACCTGTGGCCAAGAATAAAAATGCCACCTTTTTAATTTTTATTATTAAAAAAAAAATAACTTTATTCTAAAAAAATGCTATTATAAAAAAATTATCTAATGACATTTAAATACTATATAAATATAAATATAAAAATTTTTTTGTGTTATTAATTTTGAATACATATTATTCCGAAACCTTCTTGTTGGTGCCTTTATTAAATCGGCGCCTATGGCGGGGGCCACATTGTCCATACCCTAGTTACGGTTCTGAACGGTAGTAATATAGCCTGATATAATTCAGCAATTGTTTGACTTTAATATATAACTATCAGGTTTGGACATTTATATGTATGAATAAAGTGGTTATAAATCATTATGTACGCTAATTAGAAATTATCCACATGCTCCACACCTTTCTTGATATAATTTATTTAAACAGTAATTTATAAATTTATTTATTTATATGTTTTGTTTAAAAAGTTAAAATTCAATACTTTATAGAAATATAAAATTAAAACATTTTTTCTTTTTTCAATAGCATGGGTGCTACTATATTTGTACAGCCTCTAGATCTCATAAAAAATAGAATGCAACTTAGTGGTAAGTCATAGTAAATAGTTGTCTTTTAGTTAAAATAATACATTTCATTTTATATAATCGATCAATTTTTATTCCTTGCTCCCTAGGAAGGTATAATACATAAATTGTTAATCTCAGAGCATACTTTATTTCTAAATTTAGATAATTTAAAGAATGTAACATCATTTTCTTATTAAACAACCATCTCAACGTCACTGCCGTAACTAGGGCGGTGCCCAGGCACAGGGCACAGACCCTGGGGGTGCAGAAATGACCTGGACCAAGTTTTGGGTCATAGTTTTGGGGCGTAGTTACAGAAGCTCGCACCGGGCACATAAAAGGCTAGTTACGGCACTGCTTAACATCATACAGAATGGAGGGAATTTGTGAAAATTTAGCATTTTCCAATATACATATTGAAAGAAAAGTATCTAGTGATATCAATTAAAACTTGAATTAAATAAATAATAAATAAATAAGATCTAAACTCTGTTTCTAAAACTTGGATGGCTTTATAAGAATTGTTGAGTCATGTATTTTTGATTGTTTCTGAAAAATCATGTTTGTAGCTAGCTAACTGTGCAGTGCTTAGAGGTTATTCAAATATGATGCCATCAATTTTAAGTTGTTTTTGACTACTCTACTCTCTGTGTCACATTTTGTCACCAATTTTTAGACACCATTCATACTTGATCTGCCACCCTTGATATTAAACTCAAGCATTTCTGTAAAACAGATCAAAAAGAAACACACGAAAACCAAAAATTCAGCAACATAATATACAAGCAAGCATTTTTACCTGTCTTAAATGGTCATTATCGGGTTCTTCGTCGTCATTTGTTTGTGTATTAAAGTATTTATGTTGTTGGTTTTTTGGTGTTGGTGTGTTTATCTTTGAGCTACAACCAGCTTTTGTTTGTAAAACAGATCTACGGTGCATTAATTTATTCATATTTCCTGCCAAGAAGAAGAAAATTTTAAAAATAGGCCAGTAGGAAAGAAAATGAAATTTGCTGATTTACTACAGAAGAAGAGTCTAGTGACATTGTACTAACTTCTAGAGTAAAGTTAATATATTACATACGTGTATTCCTTTCAGCAGTATCTTTACCTTTAAAAGTAAATTGTTGCCATTATCTTTTCACATTAAAAGTTCTACTAGAGCTTCCAGAACATATTTAGTACATTGAATCAACTAAAGTGCGACTATTTGAATATGCAAGAACTTGCCATGTGATCGTTTTTCCTAGCTTTAAAGATGCTCTTAGTAAGTTTAGTTAAAGGAAAAGCTATTGGGCAAGGTTGAAATTGTAATTTAAAATCAACAGATGATTGGAGTGGTGCATAACCTGCACTCCTCTTTCAAATCAAATTTAAAACACAAATAACTTGTCAGTTATTCATGAGAAATTACAATACTTAAAAAGAAGGCAATAGTAAAAAAAGGTGTATTTTTTAATGTTGTTTATAATAATAAATCTTGTAAAATTGTTAAGCATGAAATAAAATTAATTCTTAAAGCTTAGTAAAGTGAAACTTATGGAACAGTTTAAAGAACTTGAAGAAAAATGAGTATTAATGTTTTACTTTTTAGGTGAAGGCGGTAAAGCAAGAGAACACAAAACTAGCTTGCATGCCATACGTTCGATTATTAAATCGGAAGGCTTATTTGGGATGTATGCTGGGTAAGAAATTATTTTTATTTATAAAAAAAAATATATTAAATCTTCAAGTTATAAGTAAATTAAGAATAAAACTGTTTTCCACTTGAAAGCACTAATTTACTAGTATTAAAGGTTTTTCAATTCCAAGAAAGTAGTTTTAACTTTATTATATTTTAGGTTTCTTTTTATTCTTTAAATATTTTTAGATAATTATTGATAAAGTTCGTAAATTCAACTTCATGTCATAAATAAAATACAGTAGGATTTCATTTTATATAGAGTCAGAGCTGTCAAGAGGGTTCGAGATAGAGAGGGCCCTTTTGTTCCTTATCAGGATCGCTTTTCGGTGGCATAGCGAGGGGGTGCAACGGGGTGTATCATGCACCGGGCACCACGCGCAGAGGGGTGCCCAAATGGTCTCCAAGACAAACTTTATGTGTTTATGGGGGGGAGAGGGGTGTTAAATAAAGTGCCGTGCCCCAGGCGCCAGTTATGTTTGCTATGCCACTGCCGCTTTTGTCATTTTTTTTAAGTAAATGAAATATATAGAATATTTCTTTATTGACCCACTCCCAGTGTCATTAAATCTGACTCTTGTTAGCAAACTACACTTTGTCAGTTTCTAGCAATCCAAATACAAAAACTACTGAGTGATATTTTAGTTTTCACGTACAGTAAAACTTCTCTAACTCGAAGCTTCAATAGGCAGGAAAAACTTTGATTTACAGACATTTCAAGTTAGAGAACAATAGAGTAAAAAATGCCAATTCTGAGTAGATTTGTATTTTTACCTCTCTTGTATTATATGAAGAATCTTTGATAGTATTTTTTTGTTTATTTGTTTTAAACAGCCCATGTAACACCTTTCAGAAAAATCTTCAATGTAACTAATGGAATCGAATAGTTTCGCAGGTACGTTTTGTTGAGATAAGGCAAGGGGACCTCTCACTTTGGACTGGTATATTGTCTGAAAATTGGTATTGGAGAATAGATACAACTAACTAACTGTCTGAAAATTTCATGAAAATCTGATTAATTTGATGAAAATTAGAATCAATTTGGGTAAAAAAATATTAAAGTTCAAGTTGGGGAAGTTGAAATTAACATAAATTGGTATTGGGGACCACAAAAAACTTCAACTTGGAGAAAATTTGAGTTAAGAAATTTAATTTGGAGATGTTAAATCCATATGATATTCCATTGAGACCTATCAAGTGCTTTGTTTTCTTTGAGTTAGAGAAGTTTTATTGTGTTTTTCTCACGTAGCATTTTTAATATGTGTAATAAAATTTTGCTCCATATATTCAGAAATATTTTAAGTATATTTGAATGTTTTTCTCTTGTGTAACTGTCACATGCCATTTTTTTTTAATANCCGGCACGTATGCAGTTTACGGATTAAGGCTGTTTGAAAGGTTTCTTCCATATAATTAATCGATTCTAGACTAATTCGACTCAACATTTCCAAAATACGTATAATTTTTTGGGAATAATCCATATAAACTATGCTATAAACAAAAAATTGTAGGATTACTTACCGAGCATGCACCGTTCGACTACGCCATTGCTTAAGCTTGTTTTTGTCGTGGAGCTTGTCATCGAATGGCGCTCGCATGCTTCCCGATAGATTATTTTTTTTGCGAAAAATTCACTGAACTTTAGAGACATCATTAATATGAATATAATTTTTATGGACGTTAAATAATAAATGGTTTTTAGTAGGTCCACTGCTCGTTTAAACTCGACGGTTTGTACAGTATCTGCTATTGGTCTAGATTCGACCAATCCTGTCGCAACACGAGTCAGCGATGACGTTTTACCGAATTATATGAGTTTTTTTAGCATGTTTGTACGAATACTGTCGCAATTTTTTTGCCGTGATATAGGAATCTGAACTATAAGAACCCATATTATAGGGGGATCGACTGTATTTTAGTTATAATTTGTACTTACTAGAAAACTTCTCTGTCTTGCTGGCTTATTGCCTAAAGGAATAATAAACACAGTAGAAGCAGAAGTAGAGAGAGAGATATACTGCATATACAGAAAACAAAGCGGGGGTTGTCTAAAGACAGAAAAGCAGGACAAAAATGTTTTTAACATGTCCGCTGCTAACAAACTGTACAAGTATCTGAGTAAGAGGGGTTTTAACTTATTTCTAGGCTTACAATTAACGAAATTTAGCAGAGAATAAGGTAAATGTTTCTCGTTTACGTACCTGGACAGAATGTTTGGTTAAACTGTTTAAGAAGATGAAGTTTTCTATCCTTTTCTAAATATATATTTATTTAATGTTAATTTTTTAATGATTTGTTTTATTTATCAACATATAACTGAACTTTATAAAAAGACTCTTTTTTTTTTATTCCAAAATGTTTATTTTATATGATTAATTTTATTTTTAGTAATCTGTAAATACAAAACAAAATCAGTTTGAATTAAGTACAGGGTGTTTACAAAGTCTGTAAAACATCACAAACAGCTGTATTTTCATACGAAGACATAGATATGTACTCAAATATTCACAAAATGAAAGATGTCCTCACCAAATTATGTTTTCACATCTTACAAATGTTCAATTTATCCCCTTTGGCCACACAGCAAATATTTTGTTGTTGTTAAGTTCCATCAAGTCGTTGTCGACTCCTGGTGACTGCATGGACAAGTCTTTTCTTGTCCATGTAGTTTTCTTGGCAAGAGTTGAGGAAGTGGTTTGCCATTGCCTTCTTCCTGGAATGATGTGTCACTCGCGCGCGGGGAAAGAAAAAGCAAATATATCTATCCTATAAATATGAACATCTGAAAACCCAATTGTTTAATTAAAATCAAATGATTACCATATATTGAGCTATATTAATGCTACTATTAATAATTAAATGTTAAGTAATTTGGCCTAGAGGTAGGCATTAGATGCCATCTCTTGATAAATACAATACCCTTTCATTAATACAGTAATTGTTTGGCTTTAACATCCATCCTATACTCCATTTCACTCATACCTGATCTAGCATATACTGTTATTGTGGCAGTTATGATGTGGTATCGCAGATCCTGAAGTTCCCGTAGTAGGGGTGGCATGTACACGTTTTTCTTCATATAACCCCACAAGATGTTGCTTGGAGTAAGGCATGATGATCTGGGTAGCCAGCGTGTGATTGCTTGTGTCTTGTGCCAAGACACAACCAATCCAACAATGCAACAATTTCTTGTTCAGATATGCATGAACATCACTGTGGAAATGTGCTGAGGTACTGTCTATTGCATCACAGTTAACATTACCACATCCTTGTTATGATGGGTTGGGTATAGAGTGAAATGGACTATAGGATAGGTAACCAAAGATGGACTTATTTGAACATTTGTAAGACATAAAAACATAATTTTGTGAGTACCTCTTTTATTTTGTGAACATTTGAACACATATCTATGTCTCCTTGTGAAAATACAATTTTGTAATGTTTCGTGGACTTTGTGAACACCATGTATATGAAGATCCTCCTTAACATATATATCATTTAAAATAATTTCAAAGCATAAGTAATGTAAATATCTGATAAAAATCTTGTTCAATACTTATATTCAACAGATGCAATTTTTTTTTTAATTTAGACNAATTTTTTTTTTTTTTTTTAATCTTAAATGCTAATGATTAATATGTTTATTTAGTCCAACAATATTTCAGTATTCTACAATATTTCAATATTCTATATTTCAGCCCAACAATAAAATGTAACAGTGTTTATTATTGATTAAACTTTAATTTTTAAATCATTGTAAAAATAAAATGTATAATTTAAATAATTAAAACAAAAGTTGAAATATTATATCGATTTTTCAAAATTTAAATACTGTTCATTGCTCTACAAACCAGTTTAATATTTAACTAGATACTTGAGATGCATAACTTAATAATTAACACAATCATTAGAATGGCACAATCATTAGAAAGAGGTCACAGTAACCATGTGTTTTGGATAATACAGATGGTTATAGAAGGTATTATTACTTCTGATTATTGTCACTAACTTTTATTTATATTAATTTTATTTGCTAATTTAGGGTTGTGTTCCAACAATTGGAAGAGCCATGGTAGTCAATGCTGCACAATTAGCTTCATATTCTCAAGCAAAACAGATGTTAATGTCTTCAGGTATGTGTTTTTATCTGGATATATGCTACTGTTACAATAATATATTGATAAATATTTGAAGAATTATAAAAAAAATTAGATTTTACACATTTCACTACTATACTAGTATGAAAGTAGACATAATTTGCTGATGTTGTTCCAAGTTCTGAGTGAATGAACTCAGAATGCTAGTTAAAAGGGATAGTTACTTTGCTTGCTCTAGTTGATGCAAGTGAAAACTACTTCATCAGCTAGTAGAATGTATCCCCAGACACGGGAGAACAATGGTAATGCAACAGTTCATTTGGAGAGAAATTGTGGTCAGTGCAGATGGCCACATTTTCAGCCTCCCTTTATAGGAAAGGAAGGAGAGAATATCTCAGAAGAGGAGAGAAAAATTGAACTCAAGCTAAAGTTGATGAAGGTTTGAATTGAACTCAAGTGATAGCCACATCCAATGTAAAGTCCACTGGAGGTGGCAAGAAAAACAAACAATTTGAGACAAAAAAGTTTATGAAATATAATAAAATTAAACCAAGTACTTAAGCAGTAGGAAATAACTCTGTACATAATTTCAAAACAACAATTTCTCAAATAATTACGAAAGGTAACTTTTGCATACATTTCTATAACAATAGAATTGTATGCTCTTTAGAATACAAAACAAATTCAAGCTTAAATTGCTGAGGATAGAATGACACATTCCAAAAACATTTTAACATAAATAAATAATTTATTAGGCTCCTTAAACAGAGTCAGTATGGACTCTTTATTATCTACTATTGAAGACACTCAACTTATTTATCATATATTATAGTTAATTATATTTGCAAATGCAATCAGTTTACAAAAATTTTTAATGCATAATTATGAATACTTTTTATAATTATGAGCTACCTTTTTCTGCTTTCTTGAAGACTATTAGGGTAACTTCTTTAAAATTAAATACTTTCAACCTTTCACCCCATTACCGGGGTAAAAAAACAACTGTTTCAAGCATCATCAGCTTTGTCTTGGAACAATATGAATTTAAAAATTGACGACATTTGAATTCAGTGCATTTTTATAGCAATTCTTTGTATTACAAGATGACTGATACCAGTCAGTTTTTTGAGAACTGACAAATTTGGTTCATATATGGAAGGTTTTCAAGTTCTTTCTGTATATATGACCAAAGATAGAGAAGATTAGCCTTTATTTTCTATTCTCATAATAAAGTTTTAATTTATTTTAAGGGTTTAGACATACCTCACATTTTGGGCAGTGCAAGGTAAGCACAATAGCCACAGATTTTGTTCAAAGGGGAGAGGAGAGAGAGATCCAAATTTTTCTGGCCATTAAGATTAACCAGAATTTTAGACTACTAGGTTTGGATTAGCAAGGTCCTATTGTAATATACGTGACAAAAAACCGAAACTATCCGATTTTTTACTGTTTATCTTACTTTTTAAAACCGAAAAATCTTATGTCATTTCTAAATTTATAAATTGCCAATTATATTTTCTTATAGGTTATTTTCAAGATAATATAATGTGTCATTTTGCTGCAAGTATGATCAGTGGTCTCATCACAACGGCAGCTTCAATGCCTGTAGATATTGCTAAGACTCGGTTAGAAATTCTGTTAATTTATTTATTTTCTGCTTTAACACTGGATTAAATTATAATGAGTTGATTATAATTTTAGTTTTTAATAATAAAAAGTCCCTTTTTTTTTTTTTTTTTTTTAAAGTACATACATTTGTAAGACATAAAAACATAATTTTGTGAGTACCTCTTTTATTTTGTGAGCATTTGAACACATATCTATGTCTCCTTGTGAAAATACAATTTTGTAATGTTTCGTGGACTTTGTGAACACCATGTATATGAAGATCCTCCTTAACGGCGAATCAGACCTGGTGACATACGAGCCAGTTACGCAACAAATGCAGCCTGCTCTTGGCATCTCAAACTCATTGCATGCTTCTCACGAATTCTACTTCTGTTTGATCATTTTGTATAGCATGATCTTAAGCACAATTTGTTGCTTATTAATTAAGAAACATATTCTAATGTGAAATTTTCTACCAAACTGATGTTTATTTTAAACAAAATATCAAACACAATCATATTACTGGAGCAGAGACTCAAGAAATTGAATTAAGATACTAAATAATGATGTAATATGAATTGAATTATATGATGATATAATATAATTGAACATTTCAATTCTGTAAAGATTTACTTTACAGATTTCATTATATATATATATATATATACAGTAGAGCATCGATTATCCGACCCCTGATCAACCGTCACATCGGTTAAGCGACTGCGTTCTAGTCGGCAAATTCAAATGTCCGCTAGTATGTGGTGATACAATATTTGACTATGTCTTGGCTACTTTAATAGTATTTTTACGTGTTTTAGCTGGCAATACTGGCTCGACCATGAAAGGGACCCAGTATTTAAATGAGGCTTAATTTTCTAATTTTTAACGATACAATAGCGACGATTATTATTTTAAAAAAATTTTTATTAGGCTTAACATCAATGAAAATTCAATGCAAAGTAAGTTAATAGCGATATACTAATTACATGGAATATACTAATATACTATACTAATAATGTATTTTTTCATATTTTTCGGTTATCTGTATTTTCAGTTATCTGACCAACCCCAGTCCCCAATTGAGTCGGATAATCGATGCTCTACTGCAGGTGTGGCCAAACTTTTATCCCTTAGGGGCTACTTTTTTGGTAAAATATAGTCTGCGGGCGACTATGAATATGGGCAAACAATTTTAGGATTTTTATATGTGCATGCGTTAACATTCATTTGCATTGTTCGTCGGGATAAATACAGACAGTCTATTATTGTAAGAATAAATTGTCGAATTAAGATTTTTAAACATTAATTTAAGTGAAAGCAAATTGTTCAACTTTAGCTTCGCAGGCTACTTTCAAAACCTTTGCGGTCGACCGGGGTCCACGTGTTGGCCATCCCTGCTCTACTGTATATGGATTACTGGAAATTGAAGATTAAATCTTAAATTTTCTATAAAATATCCAGTGTTCGTATCTGATCTTATGATAGCATGTAGATTCCTTAAATTGTCAATAATATCATACAAATAAATAAATTTTATAATAAAATGCACTTATAATATACATTCAAGTGTAGAAGTTGCATACAATCCAAGGAAAGAAAGCCAAGACCCAACAGAAAGATGGATCCTTAAATAATGTGATTAAAGTTGATCTGTTTAGTCATTCAAAGACACAAACATGTTTGAAAATTATAATTTCAGTTCATGAGTACAAAATAATTTTATAAAAAAAATTCTGAACAAGATTCAGCATACTTTTAGATCAAAGTTTTATACTTGCTTGATGTAAATATAAATCAAATCTATGTACTTCCATATATTAAATATTATCATGGAGTAAATAGCAACTTGATAATCTACAAAAATAACAGTTTATTAAACTATTAGAAGAAAAATATGATAAAACTCTTTAAAAATGTCAGGAAGCGAACAAAATGAACAACTTGCACAATGTTTCTATTCTATTACAAAAATAAATTTTGAAATTTTTATCATAATAAATTAACACACTTCTCCTTTTTTACAGGATGTATTAACAAAAGTCATACGTTCAGAGGGATTTTTTAGTCTATGGAAAGGTTTCACACCTTACTACGCCAGGCTCGGACCTCACACGGTACTGACGTTTATATTCCTCGAACAGATGAATCAAATGTACAGATTTTACGTCTTAGGAGATACATCAAAAACCGGAGGTGGTCTATAGTACGCAACAGTTTTTTTAATAGTTTTATTGGTATAAGTCTGCCAGTCATGTTAGCACAGATTTTGAGATTATTGTTATATTAGTCGTTAACTGGTGTAGCAATTGACAAAATGTGCAGTTATATAGTTACTCAATTTTTTGTTTGTTGTGAATGGTTGCCAAATATATATTAGAATTTTGTTAAAAACAAAAAACAATATTTTTTGTAGATCATATGTATAATGAATAAATTTAAGAAACAGTTTAAAATTTATTTTAAATGCATAAATAAATTTAATATACACAGTGTCCCCCTTGAACGTCCCTATTTTTTTGGATTAATTTTGCGAAAAGAAATGAGTATAACACTGTATACAATCTATACTAATATTATAAAGAGGTAAAGTTTGTAAGTTTGGATATAGGAGGTTATCTCTGAAACTACTCATCCGATTTCAAAAATTCTTTCACCAATATTTAGAGTGGACCTTCATGGTGGACATAGGCTGTATATTATTCCGTTAAACATTTATATAAATTAAAAGATATCATCTAGGTAAGCCAGGGGTGGCCAAAACGTGGCGCATGCGCCAAACATGGCGCATTGGACGATTACAAGTGGCGCTTCAGTTACTTCTGAGCAAAATTGCCAGATTTGGCTTTTTTGCGATTAAGAATATTATATAGAAAAATAAATTTTTTTTAGTCTGTCTTGGCAAGTTCATTTATTGCACAATTCATAACAGTCTATTTTGCAGATAAAATGAGTGTTCTCCACATAGTAAATTACAGTGTATGCACGTATTTTGAGTCTTGCGATCTTTATTTTCGATCTGTTTACAGGCGTGTAAATGGCCGAAAACATTTGTTGTGAGTAAAGTTATTCCAAGCTGATCTCATTCTCAGTGCCAATAATTGTGGTGCAGAGTAATCTTCACCAAACGAGACTCTGGCAGCTATAGCACCATCATCAAGCAATCACTCTCTCGTACAGGAGATCATTATTGACTACTGTCACAAATTAATTAATTCAACAGCGTGATTAAGTTATTCCCTTTTCTCCCCTAAGCGAAGCAGATTTATTCTTATCTCTATTTATCAACTCCTAACATTGAACATAAGACTGTATAAAAAGTGTTCGAGTTATATGGCGCATCTGAACTCGTCTGTCAAAAAATTGGCGTATGGTATGCAAAAGGTTGGCCACCCCTGAGGTAAGCGTTATATTTTTCGTGTCAGCGGGTGGCGAGGGGCAAGACGTGTACATATACAAGATAGGTAATCACGCGATGCAGTCGTGTGGTCGGCGAGATATGCAGTGCACGTGTCCGAACTTGTGCTGAACATTTGCCTATTTGTTGTCACTTAAAATAATGAATATCTTTTGTCCCGTATGTGTTCCTACAACATTCGTATAAATAAAAAGATATCATCTAACTGATACTGTTATAGTCACAAACTGAATTCCATGCGGGCGAAACCGCAGGCACAGCTAGTAATATAAAGTGTGAGGCCCCGGAAATAGCCCCCAAAAAAAGACATGTAAAAATTTGTTAAGTTAAATTGTCAAGAAAACAAATTATATAAGTGTCGAATCGGCGACACTGGACTTTGACGTTGATGCTCATAAAGAGTAGAAGGAAAAACAAAATTTTAGATAGAAAAGAAGAAAATTTAAAATATTAAAGTTAAGATGCAGTTTAGAAAGCAAAATGAAACTAGAAAAAAATATTAAAATGAGCGTAGGTGTCATAGTCAACAATTAAACGCGATCCAAGTCTAAAAGATGGTGTCGGATAAACCATCTCCAGCCGACCTTCCCCGCAAACTTTACGAAGCTCCATTTACACCTGGAGACAGATGGAAGACCAATTAGAAAGTGATGATGTGAAGTCTGTCCAATTAGCAAAAAACCAATCCCGACAAACTTATAAAAATACCAATTCCAAGGACAACGGGACTTCCACTAAAGTCCCCTGTCACGTACACCTGTGGTGTTCGTTGTCCTCTTCTCTTGGTGCTTCTGCTTTCCGCTATCTTGTGACTGTTCGACTCTGAACTTTAACACACCAATTGCCCCGGGGCTCCTCTTCAGCTTTACCAAAGAAAAACATCAGTCATCCAATCATTAGGACCAAAGACATCTTGGAGTTTTGAATCGAAGGACCTTTTTCTAAAAATATGTAAGCATTTTCAACAAGTTTTTCTGTGAAACACTTATCTTTTGCTGCCTCTTAAAACTGCCACCCACATACGCTTAGACCCTAAACCATCCTGACGGTAGGGAATAAAATCTTCCTCCCAATCGGCATTCTTACAAAAGTGCATCTGAAAAAGTTACCACATTAAATCAGTACGTTTCCACACATGTTCCTAACATGATGTTAATGGCATCTGTGATTCTTGTATGTAAGGTTTTCATTCACACAATCTTTGATGTGATCACAAAGAAAAAAGCTCAAAGAGATAATGCCAGGTGATCAAACAGATCTAGAAATGGGGGCCCAGTGATCTAGACTATGTGGCAGTGCAGATCCAGATTGCCACCATGCAGCAGCAGTAGTCCTTTTGAGCACATGAAACGTGGAGTATTGACCAACATTCTCCAACACATTTTATTCACATATCCGAACAAAGACTTTACAGAACAATTTAAAACTAGGCATATTTGAGAGGAATCTGTATTAATTGTGTAAAATATGAACAGATCTTTTCAATCATAGTCAAGCACTTGTATGTCGATTTATATTCAGATTATAATTAGGTTAATTAATACATATACAAATTGCATAATTTGGTCTGTATTAATCTTAACCTAACTGTCTATCTTTAGAATTAGAAATTAATTTTGAATTAAATTGATTAATTTAGAAGATTCTGGAAGAAAAAATTGAACAAGCTCTAACCTTCAACTTATGCTTTACTTTGCAATGCTAAGTTAACTCAAATAATCTGTATAATTGGCTATTGGAAAATCAGAGTTTCGTTGTTTGATAGATAATTTTAAAGTTTTTGCATTAAGATCTAGTTTATTCTATTGAAAAATTACACTAAGGATTCATATTTAAAGTCTTTAATTCTCAAAATTAATTATTGAAAATGCAATTACTTATCATTCTGTCGATAGCAGTGATGGATTCACATCCAAAGTGATTTTAACTAATTAAGTTAATTATAAAAACTCAGATCTAGTCTCTGTTTTATTTAATTCCCATCTTTGGATAAGTAGCTGGCCACTGTTTATTAACTGTTGTTCATATTAAGATCCGTAGCTTAGAGCAGAATAGATGATGATCTAAAATATGATAATTATACAGCTATCAATCTAAACACAATATAATAAAATTTATCTTAAGTAATTTTTGTCTAATTACACAGACAAGTTTATCTAAAATTAAAGTATTTGCTAAGTTTCTGCTGAAAAAACAAGAGTATTTGAGTCTGCCAGTTTAGTATCACGAATTAGAACAATAAAAGTTTTTTGTAGAAAGATATCAAGTAAAAAGTTCCTACTTGTGTGTGTCATTTAATTAATTAATTAATTAAACCATTGATATTAAGAGATATTATAGAGTAGTTGTTATCATAATGAGCTATTAGAAAGAATTATCATTACTACTATACAGTGTCATTCTGTTAACTCGGCATCATCAGGACCGACATGGTACCAGATTATCAAATATGCCAACTTATCGGACAGTGATTGTGATTTTTTCAATCCCCTGGATGCAATTTTACATATCTTTGCATGTAAAACTGTAAAAATCTGTCTTTTATGATTGTTTAACATGCCATTACAATTTTTCCAGGCCATTCCTACCTTTGAATAGCTTGAAACAAGAACGTTATTCTTACTTTGTACTCTACACTTTTATTGTACCGTTATATAAATACACATATACTCTAATTATCAAAATACACAAACAGTAATACATTGTAGCTCTTTCTGTAATAATTATTGATTCAAAGTGTGCTATATATTTGTTTCTCGTATCAGACCCATGCACTAATGTCTTTAGAAAAATCATGCATGCACTAACTGATTCTACCTATCACAGCATCATGTTGTATTGGCATTTGTCATCACTAAAGGAAAACCGACACCCCTTTCCAACAGCTGCACAGTAAGCATACATCTCATGTATGAAGAGCAATAGAAAAAAACACAGCACATTACGGAACTCTTTATCAAGAGAAGAAAAAGAAATTTTACAGTATTTCTATAAGAAGTTTGTAGTACACTAGTTGAGAACCACTGATCTAAGATGATTTTGTCCCAAATGCATATTTTCCTGATTAAGATATAACTACAGCACAGATTATACATACATAAAAACATCTTAAAAATTCATATTTGCCAAATCCATTATTGTAAATATTAACAAATATGTAATTTTAATTTAAAATCAATTAAATATCTCAATAAGTCATGGTAAATCTGACATACATTTAATGTCCGACTGGAGTCTGGCATTATAATGTATCTATGCAAAATTGTTAACGGCATAGCTAAGCAGAAAGATACCAGATTACATTATGAGTGTCTGAGTTTGGGTCCAATCAAAATATGAGGGGCTGAAAAGGGAGAATCGTTATTTCCCTGTCAGAACAGCAAAGGGTCTTTTCACATGTGGGTGGTGGTGACAGAGGCATAGATACGAGGCACCTTTACAAGAGAAACCCATTTATTTTAAACTAAGAAGATTGCTTACATCAGTAGATGCTAAGTTCCTTCAGTGTGCGTTAATGTTCATTCTAAAGTTTGTTTCACTTGATGTACGTCTTCCAGTGAGGAGAGTCAAGATGGCAGTCCTGGAGCAGTGATGAGATGGCGATCATTGGGATGAATCTCGAACGTAGAAGTGCACAGGATAGAGAGGGGAAATTGTCAGTGACTAGGATTGATGATGATTTTGTTCTGGCAACCCAGAATCGTTGGTTGACACAGGTTTAGAAGCACTACCTGTTTGTTGATGTTGACTTTGTTCATTCCTGTCTTTAAAGTTTGGGGGTTTTATACAATTCATTCCCCAAACCTCTCCTTCTATTGGTTCCGAGATTTACTTGTCACTTTTCTATTGGTCCTGTCTCCTGTTTGCAGGTGAAATAAGACCAATTGAAATCCCAGGAAAAAGTCTACCTGAGATGATCTAATCTGACACCTTTCCCAGATATACATCAGAAATGTCATTAGAACTAGGAAACCTGCACTTGTAATTCTATCCTATTATTCCTTTTTCATTAGTCTATTTCCTTCTGATTTAACTCAACTCCTTTACAGCATGCGAGTGCAAAGTTCTGACTCTCCATCTTAACGCTGATCAATAACTTAATATGCATCTGAGTCACACTCGGGACTCGCTTGTTTCTTTACAAAACAAATCATTTCTAACGTCTAATATCTTTCATACATTAGTTCTTTAATTTTAGTCCTACTTTCAAAGATTTTTTATGTAAATACCATAGTATATTTGGTGATGTTTTATAACGCACATGATGCACATTTAATGTAATGTCCAGGTTTCACAATCTTGTCATTACATTAAAGTGACTCGATGTGGGAGCTGTGTGTGATGTGATGGATGTCAATGCAATAGTCCAGCCCCTTCCAGACTTTGCACATTGCGTTGATGTTTGTCGTCATAAAACGTCACCTAATGTACCATGGTATTTGCATAATGAATCTTTGAAAGTGGAACTTACTTTATAGACAACCTGATTAGTTAGCAATCAAAAGCAATGAGGGCCTTTGTACCATAATCATCATGGATACGTTAAGGGTTGAGACCAACATATCTGAACAGACTATCCATGAACAGTTCTTGAGATTTCTAGTTGATTAAAAATACATTCACTTTGTCAGAATATTGATTACTTTTATGTTAATTTCATAATGATCGTACTTTTTATAATAAGTGTGTCAAATTGACATAAAAAGCCATGCAAACAAGGGTTTGAAGATTTAATCCTTCCATTTGGGAAGAATTAGAAAGTTAAATAGTATATTGTATACTATTTATACTTACTTTCAACTCGTTCAATTCTTTCTCAGTAGACTAAGGAGGATTTTTAAGAGAGTAGCTGTTTTAAATCTTCTTTTAACAATTATGTGAATGGACCTGTAAAAACATACACTACTCTGACAACAAATACATCTCCAGTGCTTATTATACAGTGAACTGAGAATCTCAAATGTGGAGGAAAGGAACCAATTGCATTATACTTTAGTTCACATTAATATGGGATGCATGACTGTATGCATATTAGGTAAAAATCAAACAATTTTTTTATATTAATAACTTGAATAAAAAAGAAGTTTGTCAGTCTGGTACCTGACATTCCATACCTCTGAAAAGTAGACAATAATCCAGATTTGTCTGATGATAATCCAGCATACCAGTATTCTATAGATTGGAATTTGTTTAGACACAAATGCTAAAGGCCCTGCACAACCATGCAGATGCTACATGAGGCTGATTGCAGGATCATGGGCAATGTGATTGAGAATTTCAACAAGAGCTCAAAACTCCTTTGAAGCATAATTTGATAAACTTTATGTGCACTGTATTGTATTGTATAGAACAAACATTGCTTTGTTAGAGCTAGCGCACACTTTCTATTCAGTATCCATGAATCATACGTGATGTATTTTCTTTCCTTCAGGTCAATGTAATAACAGCATACCTAATAGATTTTCCATCCTTGAAACATGTCAATTGTTTTAACTACAACAGATAACTGGATGGTTGAAAACTATCTAGCTCTCTAATTTTAATTATGATGATGGAAATCAAGTTGTTTTAGTGAAGCTGCACTAGGAACATAAGTTCAAACCCAAGTTCCCAGAGCAAAACCTCAGAAATTTTTTATTGCCTGTCTTTTTTGAGTATGTCAGACCCTGTCCCGTACTCAGCAACCTTCATTGTGAGTCTGGCCAGATCCATGATCGGAAAAGACCCTCAGAAAAGTAGCGGATAGTGAGACTGACCAACATATTCAGATCAATTTAGCTATGAAGATTTTCACACTGACTTGAACTCAAACCCTCGTAATGGATGGCAGCAGATGCTTTTATCACTGCAAGTTTCTGAACCAATCCAGATTTGAACCCAGGTCTCCCAGAGCATCAGACTAACACTCAGTTTTGATCATCCAATCAAATTTCTGTTTCCAACAAATGATTTGTATTAAATTGAAAGTAAACTGAAATTTTGAATTTTAATTGTTAATGTAGAATAACGAATGTAAACGTAATTAATTGAAATATTTCTACTGCATCAAGTGTATTTAATCTATATAAAAATTATTAAAATTAACCAGAATTTTGTATTCAATACAAATAAAACAACCTTGACTTCATTCCAGCAATAAATATTTACCTTTTACTAACATTTTCAATTCGTACTTCTTCCTCAGGTTTGAAAAAGAATATAAAATACGCACAGGTGTTCCAATTATTTAACTAAGCGTACAGACGTTTGGTATTACAAAATAAAATATATGAAACCTTACTTTCATTAGAATCAGATGATCTGCTGAATTATCAGACTATAATAAGGCTAAGTTAACAAAATTTGGCAGAACGTCATGCTTTAAATGTTCATTTAAGTTAAAAAACTTCAGGTATGGTAATTTAGTTATTTATTAGTGGTGTATATTTTAAGTGTAGTTACATACGAAAGTAAGTTTTTGCATACTTTATTATATTTTGGAATACTTGCGCGTATTCCACGTTCTTTATTCAAGGAAGTGATGTAAAGTAACATGGTTGGTTAAACATAAAATTTATTGCTGGAGTAACATCCGGGTTGTTTTATTTGTATTGTGTTTAATCTGTGTAGAGATTACGTGAAAAATTTTACGGGACAAATTCAATATTAAATTCATTATATTATTCAATAAAATGTTCTATTTTATTCAATTTTATATTTTTTTTTTGTAACAAAATGATGCAGCAGATGGATAAATAAGGAAGCATAGTTTAGTGCTATTATTACAATTCAGTTGAATGAAGAGAACAATAGAAAGGAAGTAGACGTTAAAATCTAAACATATAAAAGCTGAAATTGTAGTTAGCATTTCCATAACACGAATTTGCCATCAGAAATGAAGTTTGCAGCAATTCTCTTCTTGGTTTTAATATCTGCAACATTAGGAAAAAATGATGATTCTAGCGATGTTACCACAGCAAATAATAATGATGAAAGTGAAGAGAAAGCTGACGAAAGAAAAGTCACAGATGATGATGCAGATGATTCGGAAGAAATACTTGACAGCGAGTAATCTTTGTTTAAATGTGGTTTCAAAATTTTAAGACCTTGTAATTAAAAATTGATTAAAGAACTTCAAGTGTTCATTGTTAAACTTTGCGTTAATGTATCTTAGTGTTTTTAAAACATAAATACAGTGCAATCGTAAAATTCCTCTGAAATGGGTGAGAAAGTGGACAGAGCTTCCAGAAACAAATGATGTCACAGGCAGACTGCTCCTGGAGAGTATTAAAGTTATGACATCACTACTTGGTCGAGTCACATGGGTGTGGCCCACTTTGGAGGAACTTTACGACTACACTATATTTTCCATTTGAAAAGTTACACAACTCATTGGTATCTTTTTTGGCTCTTTTCTGCTAATGAGATGCCAGTTGTAACTTTAATCCGACGTACGATACTGTAGTTCATGTCGCTCCACTAAGACTATCGTGTTTAACTATTTAGCCCACGCAACTGACTGTGGAGTACTTGACGTTATATAGTTTTAGGGGGTATGGGGGTTCACTCCACCCAGGCACTGAGGTACAAGTGATAGTGAGCACCAAAGCACACAACTACATGCAAAGCACATAGAATAAATAGGTAGTATACTGATACATGTTCGAAACTGATCTTTGGAAGCAAATATCTGGCAAATTGTTAACAATTCTGGAGGTGGTGCGAAACTCCTCATTCAGCGCTTTAATCTTACAATATCGGTTGGCATCCCATTAACAGAAAAGTACCGGTTTTTTGTATCTTAATATTTCTGTTAATAAACTAAGCAAAATAGCTGGAATGAAAATAAATTTATCAAATAACTTTCCATTACAAATTCTTGAATATTTATACTAAATATAGTATTTCAGTCAGTTAATGTACATTTTAAATTTATTCATATATTTTTGCATGTTTTCTTTTATTATTATTAGTTTTTTGGATAATCAAATATTCAAACTAAATATTGAATTCTTATATTTTACACTCTAACCAGCATTGGAGTAATCAATGAATTAGCCTTTTCCTTTCCCATTAATTTTTCTACAATCGTCAATGCAAACTCAAATGCAGTTCCTGGTCCTCTGCTAGTGATCAGCTGTCCATCTACCACAACCCTGTCTTCACTGTATTTATATTTATCTGAAATAAAAGAAAAAAATATATATATATATATATATANCGGCAGCTTCAATGCCTGTAGATATTGCTAAGACTCGGTTAGAAATTCTGTTAATTTATTTATTTTCTGCTTTAACACTGGATTAAATTATAATGAGTTGATTATAATTTTAGTTTTTAATAATAAAAAGTCCCTTTTTTTTTGTTATTTTAAAGTACATTTGTATTTTCTAGCATACAAAACATGAAGACTATTGATGGAAAACCTGAATATAGGGGTGCTATAGTAAGTGTAAATGATTCAAACTATTTCTATTTATTAATATTGTACAGTAATTGAGTAATATATAATCAAACAAAAAAGTATAACTCATGAGGATTAGTATAAGGAGTTTGGCGAATCAGACCTGGTGACATACGAGCCAGTTACGCAACAAATGCAGCCTGCTCTTGGCATCTCAAACTCATTGCATGCTTCTCACGAATTCTACTTCTGTTTGATCATTTTGTATAGCATGATCTTAAGCACAATTTGTTGCTTATTAATTAAGAAACATATTCTAATGTGAAATTTTCTACCAAACTGATGTTTATTTTGAACAAAATATCAAACACAATCATATTACTGGAGCAGAGACTCAAGAAATTGAATTAAGATACTAAATAATGATGTAATATGAATTGAATTATATGATGATATAATATAATTGAACATTTCAATTCTGTAAAGATTTACTTTACAGATTTCATTATATATATATATATACACATTTAACAAAACAAACCCTCCTTTAATAGTGTGTAAAATTTTGTGGACACAAATGTTTCAATCCACTTATTAGTCTTCTCGTAGATTAAAATGAAACAGGAATGCTAGTGTGAATAGCCCAGTAAACTAAACAATCTAGGGGAGGTAGGCTATGATAATGACATAGTGATAAATTTAAGAGAAACTTTCTCAACCAGAAGCTATCTTAGTACAAGGACGACATCGAGAGAAAAGGAGATAATAGAATATTATCATTATTTACCTAGTGTCTGATTCATGAACATCTCATAAGATATGACAATCTCTCTCCAATATTACGAAGTTACCAGAAACTAACAAAATTTTATATTCCACATTGGGTGCATTTACTTTTAGCTCCGATCTTGCACCAAGAGTGCTCAGCCCGTATACTTTTTGTTAGCTATTTGTGCCTCATCATTATCCTATCAGTGGTGGTTGATGCATTGTGCTCTTCTACATACTTTAAGGCAACTTTAATAAAAAAAAATATACATTAAAAACTGTACACGTTGCAGTATGGAAATGTAAGATTAGGAGACGTGTACAACATTTTCAAAAATTTTTGGTTGCCTTTGATCAGTCCAGATATGGAGGGTCAATGTGGGAGTGAGTATTGTATTTTAAGAGATACAATCGGAAATAATGACCAATTTGATTATCTATCAACAGAGCCAAATACTTGGCTACCACTTTTATCAGTACATTACCTTATAACAGCTATTAGATATTTCATATTTACAAGACTTCTTAGAATGTTTTTTTAAATACAAAACTTCTCATATCTGGTAATTTATAAAGAAAGCTACATGAGGTGTTTGTGAAACTGACTTCTAGACTGTAGTGGGACAATACTAGACACACTTCAACCCGAAAAGTCTATTATTCACTCCGCAAGAAATTACTTCAAAAGTCTGATCTTTTTAAAGAAAAATAGCAGACATTACCTACAAAATTTTACACATTGCTAAATATACTGTGTATTTCACATGTTCATAAATTGAACTGACTTAAATTCAATATTGTTCTATTACCTCCTTCTTTCATCTCTTCTTTTTTACTAGGATGTGAAGTTAACAACTTTCCAACAGTAATTCCATGGCTCTTCAAAGCTATGGGTGCTATAAAATAAAAAGAACTCCATTAAAACTCAGTACATTTTAAGCATACAAACACACTGCTGGATTAAGGCAGCTGAAAATTTTATAATTAAAGAAATATTTCAACTTTCTTAAAGCTATCATCAGCTATTTAATAATAAAACATTTACAAAATTTAGAAATACAAAAATATTTTTTTTTTTACACTGACATTTACCNTTTGGCTATTTCCCAAGCTGAAAATGCCACTAAAAGGAACCCGAATTTAGTCGAGAGAAGACATCGTGCAAAATCCGACGGAGCGGCTGATAGCCATTCCAAAAGATGCGTTCCAGCAGTGTTTCCAGCAATGGCAGGAACGCTGGGAGAAGTGTATATATTACCAAGGAGACTACTTTGAAGGGGATTAGGGTTTTGTACATCAAAGTCAATAAATTTATTTTTACCGACCAAAGGTCCGATACTTTTTGAACAGACCTTATATTGGTTTATCTTAGAAAAGTAAAATAATATATATTGACAATTATTGTTAAGAAATAAATCTTATTGCATATTCCAATTTATTTTTTGTAACAAACAAACACATCAAAAACACACCACAAAATATTAGTGAAAACGTTAGTGAAAGACGTACTGTCGAGTTACGCACCATTTTTAGTTTTGGGTTAGAAGTAAGTCTTATATTTTTTGTAACATTAAACAATTGTAAAATTCTGCATAAATTTATCAAATTTTATCTATTCTTAAAGTTGTATGCTTTTCAATTAATATTAAATAGAAAAGTATCTTTGTATCATATTTTCATTAACTTTGATTTTCCTAAAATTTCTTAAAAAGAATTTTCTGAGAAGAAAAAGGATTTGTTTTTAATAAAAGATTTTGAAATAGTATTTTTAATAATAAATGAGGAAAAAAAATCTTAATTTTGGTCATAATGATGATAAATGTGTCATTTACAATATCTTTATTTACAATGTAATTAGACATTCTTTTTACAAAATAGAGATAGTCATATTTCAATTTAGATCTTGATATTGTTAATTAGATTTATATCTATAAAATCATTTTACTGGCGTAAAAATAAATAGTAATTCAAAAGTCTTTCAAATACACAACTTTCTTCACTCATTATTATTGTCATGTTTTACTGAATCACTATTTGTTTTCAACTGTGATTATATATGCTGACAAAAGTTTTTAGTTAATTATCCCTTATACTGTATATAAAAGTTGTACTGAGAAATTTAAAGGATATCACTAACAAATATATTTTATATTTGAAGGTCTTGAATCAGTCATGCACATAATAAACACTCTGCAAAATAATATTTTTAAAATTTTTCTTTTCAATTACATATGAATAAAACATACACTGAAATGATAATAATTTTATATATATGTATATATAGTGATTTCATTGTTTGAATTGATGCTAAATTTCTTTTTACAAAGCATATCTTCATATAAAAGTATCACTCTTAAATTCATTTCATTCAACATTTAAAATTTTTCATTCTTTTATCATCATTTTTGGTCAATTTTGTAATTATACTACAGTTATTTAGTTTACTAGATTAATTTTAAATGAAAGACAAAGTACAATTTTTCTTAATGTAAACAACATCTTCAAACAAATACTTAGAAATAAATGATTGTTATCTCTTTTAAAGCTTTAAACAAAGCCTTTAAATTCCAGCACTTGAAATGAAAAATTTCAATCATGCTAACATTTTCAACTGTACTTAACTGTCATCATTTAGCTATACAATGAAATTGGAACACTTTTTTAAACATTAGCATGATTAAATTTTTCATTTAAAGTGCTGGAGTTTAAAAGTTTTGTTGTATTTCTTAATGCTTTTCCAGTTAAAAGTTGTTACTGTTTAAAGCTTCCCAATTACTTCCCTATATCAACTTTGTAATATAATTTTTTAATATGCAATCTATTTTTAATACCCAAAGTTTAAAACAATTGGGAACATTAATACTGATTTTGTTATGTTCTACGATTTGTTTACATACAATTATATTTTCCTTTCGGAATTTTGTATTTTCACCACTTTTTTACTAAGAAATATAACATTCATCTTTTCCTAATTTTAACAAATTAAGTGTATTACAAAAATATTTTTTTTTTTACACTGACATTTACCATTTTAAAATATTCTGTTGTATGTACAAATTCCAATATATATATGAGCCAAGTACAGATGGAACCCTGTACCTCTTGATTAGAGTGAAATTGTCTGATTTTCAGTGCTGTTTTTAGCTCGTCAAAGACATAAAAATCACGACATAAGGTCGCATGATGACCCAAGTGTTCTAAGTGTGTATGTAGAATCTTCATTTGTAATGTTTGCAGTGTTGTAAATTTTCAATAGAGAGGTTGCGGCCGACATTTTGAATGCGAAAATGTGTATGTCGGATGTTCAGCACTGCCTTCCTGTGAGCCTAGAAGTTTGACAATAGCGTTTGGAACGTCGAACATGTTCCTACTGATGTTCCGAATGCCATTGTCAAACTTCTAGGCTCACAGGAAGGCGGCGCTGAACGTCCAACGTACACGTTTTTGCATTGGAAACGTCGGCTGCAACCTCTCTAATAATCAGGGTGTTTACATGTAATATAAATGCATTCAATACATTTTATCATCATTGGCTGGTTATTGATCAACTCTGTATTCTATTTTCCAATATGTAACACTTCGTATTTTTAAATAAGTCATGATAGTTCAAGAAAGCTGGAAACATTTCTATAAGAATAAAATTTGCAGTTGCCATAACTCAGCAGTGCATTTGCTGTTTTAGATGCTTATACATACATTTTCATTGATATAATTATGAAAGTAGTGTAATTTTACCTGCACAAATTGCAGCAATGTATCTGCCAGCATCTTGCTGCTCTTTCAATAAAGATCCTACTTGATTACTCTGTTTCAAAAATATTTATGAAACTTACAAAAGTTTAGTCAAAATATAGATTCTAAAATCATTAGATATTTAGATAAAAACCTCTGCCAATTTCTCGGAACCTTTTAATCCACCCGGTAAAACAATGACATCGTAAGGCGAATCTCTTAACGCATCATTTAAACTCTTGTCGGGCATAACCACTACATCTCGGCTACATTTCACTGCTTGAGAACCATCCAAACCAGCAACAGTTACTTTTATCTAAGATAAAATTGAAAGAATTTACACTTTAAATACACAAATCATAAAGGTTTATTTAAGCATTTCTGAAATATTGATATTCAATATGAAGGATCATTCATATGTATAGTTTAAGTCGGAGGGAAATAACAAAAACTTCATTGTACACAATAGGGGGATCGAGGCATCATCTATGGGGACTTTTTCATGGTATTAGTGACAGAAAAACTGGTTCTTGTAAGTCTACTTACACTCATGTGAATATACTTATCAGTTAGAAAATATCTGTAGAGTTTTTTAAATAATTTCTTCAATGTCAGGGGTCCTAAACTGTTTATATGTAATCAAGGGGTGGTGTTTGCCATCATTGTATACAATAGGGAGAGAGGAGGTCAGCAGCAGCTCAAAAACTACACGCGTAAGTACTGGATGGTCCTCAGAAGCTGTAGAAAAACATTACGTAAAGTCTCTAGATAAAATAACAATGAAATAGAACAAATACTGTAATTTGAGAGAAGATTGAAAGAACATGCAATCTGTCTGACAAATATATATATAAATTCATACTGTGAAGCATATAAATTAATTTTTTTTTCATTTTTTTTTATTTGAATGCATCACTCACAAGTTTATAAAATATTTCTGATATATAGTTGAATTTTAGAAGCTTACCACTCTGCTACAATGTAGATAATTGTCAGAATAATAGAGGTTACTTTTAGGTCCATATCTGTATATTTACAAATACACAAATTATCTAAAAGTAACTTTACTAGAGTACTAAAAATTCATTAGAATTTTTTTTTCCATTGTTACAAAGACTACACATAATCCATCAATAAATATTTTTAAACAGTAATCATTTATCATACTTTACATAATTCTGTCATAGAATTTTATTCCTTCTTTATGTAAACCTCGTGTGTGATATCCTTTTATGTGTTCATTTTATTATTTATACAATCTGACGTCAAAAACTACAATTCAAAACAAGAATCGAGTTTATTTTATATAGAAATCAACTACAGAAAATAAACCAATATAGGGTGTTAAAAATCAATGTAAAAACAATCATTCTAATTTCAATAATCAGATAATTTTTATATGCAAATTCTGAAAGAAATGAAAGGTTTCATTAAACAGTTGTTAGCATACAAACCTTTGAATTTTGCATAAGTTTCCACTATTAACATATCTCTGTATACAGTATAATATATATATAAGATCAAGAATCAGAGTTAGAAGTTAATCAAATAGAATTGAATAACATTTTAAACATGTGAATGCTTAAAATTCACAAAACAGAACACTTTCTTCACATTTCATCTCTTTTCACACTTCAAGAACACAAGTCTTTTAACAGAGTTTACAACAGAAATGCTTTTTGATTAACTTTTCACTTTAACACTTGATCCTCGACTTGGTTTGACACGATAAAACATAAAACAATACTCGGGTGATTTCCCAAGGGAGAGGTGCCTACCAAAAAGGTTTTCTATGAAAAACTGGCCTCATTTAGATGCTAAACACGTCACGTAAACCTAAACGCCACGCGCCCAGCCTATCAGTAAGGTACGAAGCCGCAGCCAAGCAATCAGTGGTTTTATCCGCTCACCACTGGGGGCACTCGATCCCACATCGTGCATACGAATGTAAACAAAATGAGTCACACCAAAATAAAGTTCAAAGACGAGCAAAAATTATTGCAACACATCGTCACAATGTCCGACCGTAATTTTTAATCATATTTTTAATTTATTTAATTTAAAATATATGCTCTCCACCTCAAATTACTGTCCTACCCCGTATGTCGTCCTTATCCCGACAACACAGTCGTGCCGTCACCCATAAAACTCCATTCTGGGGCAAAAACTTGAATTGGAATCACGACATATGGTCTAGACCGGAAATTCATATATAGGTAATTGGGGCCTTTCCGTACAAGGCCTCAACTTTCGTCTATCTAATACCATTCTCCAGATCAAGAACGTAGACAGACAATAATGGGAATTTGTCTATAATTTTTGAGAAATGCAACCCAAAAACATGATAATTAGATATTAAACTCGGTATTTACACTTTAATTAATTCACATCTTTGACTCATAAAAGAGTGAATCATATCTTTAGAAAATCAATAAGCATTTAAAGTCCATATGTGCAACGTGTTAAATGTTTCTCTTATCATTTATTTTTGGTCATTTTTTAATCTCATTATGTCGATCTTTCCATTTATTACACGAGGGACTTGTATCATGCTTCTTAATTAATAAGAAAACGAAGGACATGTTTGGTGGTACGAGCATTACAGATGCAAGCAAGATAAGCTCCAACACACGTGACAGGCTACTTACACCACCCCTCCGCATAACATCAACAGAAATAACAGCTTCCATCTCCTCGGCTCCGTCTGCCAAGATCAACAACGCACTTTTCGACATTTTACGAAATGAAGCGTAACTCGACCTGCAACCTCTCTCGATCCACTTCAGGAGAATGTGACTGTTAACCTTCCGAAGCGCCATCTGTCAACCATATTATATTATACCAAACTTATTATTATTATTTTTTTAATAATTTCCTTATAAATAAATTGAATAATTAATAATTAATAATAATAATTATTATTATTATTTAGAAGCGTAATATATATATTAATATTAAATTATAAATTAGAATTCGCGCCACGAGGACAAACGGCAAAAGCGGAAATCGCAACTAGGAGAAACGGAAAATAACGAAAAACGTTCGTGATTTATTTGCGCAGTTGATTTTTTTTTCAATTAATTTAATTTTTTTTTCTTCTTCTTCTTTCTTCGAATTAATATTATGCGCACTCGGAGTTAATATATTGGTAATACATTAATAGATTAATCAGATTTCCATTTGCTTGAATCCGTGCTAAAATAATTTTAAATAGTTTTCGTTTAATTCCAGTTCGCAATTTCCCCCCAGTTATCGTGCGAGTTTCGCGTGTTTGCCGCTAGAGGCGCCTCAGTGTGTTAGTATTTTTTTAAAAAAAATCGATTCATTTACGTTTTTTGACAATTATGCAATTATAGATCTCTCTTTTTATTACTTTTTATTAAAAAATTAAGTTTACTTTTATTTTCGAAATGTATCATTAACGTATTTTAACTTCCAATCCGGATTTGAATATTATTCTGATACGCTCTAACCTTCTTGTCCGAAAAAATGTTAGAAATTTTATTTTTATATTTACACCGCCCAAAAAAGTATTGCAAACGTACAGGATTAAAACGAAGAGATAGAAAATGTAAATTTTTTATTATTATTATTAAAATAACTGATTTTACTAGTTTTATGTGGTCGCATTTCTTTACGCAGCGACAGTGTAGCGAAATGACGTCACGAACAGTATTAGCCAATTAGAAACCAGTTTAGGTGTGTTCGCTGTAAAGCGTTTCTCGAGCGCTGCATAAAGTAACGCGGGGATGCTTAACTTCCGAAGCGCCATCTGTCACATATGTTATTATTATTTTTATTTTAAATTTTCTTATAGATAAATTAAAAACGTATAATTAATTAATACTATTACTCGTACACCTAATGTAAATATTAATACGTAATTATAAATATTCCTGTCGTTAATTTTATATAAATATTGTAGCAGACGTAAAATAATCATGGCGACGGCTGTATATTTGGAACATTATTTGGACAGTAAGTTGATGTTTTTGACGATATTATTTCTATCAAATATTCTTTTTTGTGTTATTTATAATGATATAAAACTCGTATAATTTAATTTGAGATATATAATGCCTTATGTCAATGAATTGGGGCTATGAACTGTTCATATTATATCACATACACATAAAACAAAATGGAGGTAAAAATTTAAAATGTACAGTACACTGCAACCAATCACAATCAAATGATTGAAATCACGTGATTAAATTCTCATAAATTATAATACAGTCGACCCCGCTATAACACTGTTGATTATTCCGTTTTATATGAATTCCATGTTGTACGAGTCACTCAGATTTTACAAATACGTGTGCTGGACTGTGAACAGCTCACGTATTTGTAAAATCTAAGTGACTCGTACAACATGGAATTCATATAAAACGGAATAATCAACAGTGTTATAGGAGGGTCGACTGTAAATCATTACCAACATTTAATATTCGACATTAGCTATTTAATATGAAACTTTAACATGTAATTTCAATAATAATAATATACAGTACAGTCTTTGCCAATTTGACCACGATTATGGGTACATATATGCTTCCGAATGGGATGGTTGGAACCTTACTGGAACTGTAGACCGTACCCGAAAAAGTCAAAGAAACCGTACCTCTAAGCGCGATACGGCTCCACCTCAAAATCTGCATGCAATTGGGGATTGTGTTGGTAAGACCGTCGTATTTAACTGTTTGGCTTGCGTGATTATGCCGGCTTCGTGGGCCACTTGACTGTTCGTGGAGTACTTGATGGTATATGGTTTTAGGGTATGTTCAGACTTGCTGCCAAGTGAGTGCCGAGGTGTTTACTATTGCTCTCATGGCTGTGCGGCGTCGGTCGAGGCAAGCGACGACGAGCCTTGATTGACGGAGAGTATGGGGAACGAGCAGTAATACTGATTTGTGGTAAAAACTGAATGGTACTTTCCGGTTAGCAGGGTGACAGTCAATTGATGCGATCCAACTTGAATGAATTAGGTTGATAATTGGTTCAGAGAGGATTTCCCAAATTGGAAGTTTAGTTACCATACATAGTACTTGCTGCCCATATGACCTGATGTTATATAATCTTGAGGCAAATACTTGCACCCCGTGTGAGGGGAGGCGCAAGCGTAGCGAGCCAGCAAACCATTTGTGAACGACTGATTCATTTGAAGTTACTCACCCATTTGGGAAATTTTCTCTGAACCAGTTATCAACCCAATACACGCAAATTAGATCGCATCGATTGACTGGCACCCTGCTAACCGATAAGTACCAACTGAACTTTGGAGGCAAATATCTTGTGAAAGTGTGCATTTACGGGTCTGTTTCATTGACTTTTTTGCTCGTACAGGGGTCTATGATTCTGGAGTTGCAAATACCTCATTCAGAGTTTTCATCTTACCCAATTACATGACATTCTTCTCACCTCTGCTCATCTGTGCACTTCCATTTTTGTGAAAATGTTATCATATCACACATCCTGCTTTCCTGTTGTATGTCAGTGTTGTATTATTTATCTGCCTATCTCCAAAATAATCAGTATTGAAGGGTGTCACCCTTTAATACTGGTCACATTATCACCGTTATGCAGGTTTTAGACTTATAATCTCTTGATAATCTGAGCCATGTTTGGCATTGCAGAATTCTTGCTAAGTCTAATTATGATACGATGCTGAACTCATTTCTAACTGCTACTTGATTCCGCCCTCTGCTAAAATTCTAACTAGTTTGGTTGGCTTGTTTTGTCCATGCTAACTTCTACTAGTGACATCATTAGACTACAATTTGAAAAAGTTGTAGACCTATAAATTCCCACTGTCGTCCGTCCATCCGTCTCGAGCAGCATTAGATATATGAAAGATGAAACCAGATACAGAAACCTTTGAGGCAGGAGACCCCGATTAACTATATACAAACTTCCGGTGCAAACCGGGAGTTACGTTATTTCAATTAAAAAATTTTCCCCCAAAACGTGTTAGATAGATGACCGGCATGACACTATTGTTAAAGGAAAGTTATGATATACAGAGGAAAGCCACTACTGAGTTCATGTGAAGAACATATATTTTAAATTAAATAAATTAAAAATATGATTTAAAAATTTGCAACCAAGCACTGTGACAATGTCTTGTTGAACTATTCAAGATGGCTGTTTCTGCTGGACTATATATATTTTTTTTTTATAAGGATCATAAAATGATTATAATTATGGTAATTTATTTTATCATACAATTATGATGATTATGGCATTTACTATTTTTGTACATGACAGTCTAGCTTGCTAACTTGGCACATTGTTGAAGGATACTTGGAACACTTCTTTGTTCCTCTCTCCAAGCAAATCATATTTCTTACTTAGCATTCTGTATTACTGAACACAGCCCTGGCAAGCCTCTGTGCAAAGAATAGCTGGGGTTAGTAAGGCTATAGTATATACAGTATTAAACACGAAAAATTAATAATCGTAGTTTTTACATTATACAATGTTTATAACAGTATTGACAAGATTAGAATAATGTTTAGTTTACTAAACACTTTATCAAAATACTCATTTTTTCTAGCCAGAAAATAAAAAGATTAATGTTTTTGGAATGTTTGTCATTTCAATTTGTCTGTTAAACCATAATTGAGTTTTCAGACAGAGTATAAGGACAAGCACAAGGACCGAAAATTTTAATAGTAACAATAATAAAGCAAAATAATTATGGTAATCAAAAAGAAGACAAAACAGATAAAATGAACTATATAAAAACCAGATAAAATCATTAAAATATAAATTAAAAATTAGGAATATTTAATTTACACATTTTATTTTAGTCTCATACTACACTTTCATTATGAAAAGAACTTCAATAATTTATTTATTTACTGATTTTAAAGGTAATTCCATAGGCAAGAAGTACCTCTCCTCGATTAACAATGTAACATCCCTTTAAAATTACATAAAAGACACAAATAACGAAAGTATTTTAGGTTGGAACATAAAAAACACGGGTATTACTACAATATAATGAATACACAAAGGATAAAATAAAATACATGGTAAATTTACAAGAATACTATGTACAGAAATTAAAAATCTATAATAAAACTAAAAATAAATATCTGAAAAGGATATTAAAAATATCCGACACCTTAATTTAAAAAATGAAACAGTCACTTTGATCTTTTCGATGGTCCTTTATTATTAATAGAAGAGATAATTAAATTACAGTATGTGAATTTCAAACTGTTTTAATTTAAAGTTCCTCTTCAGTAGTACAAGAAAAAAGATACAATATAAACTCACTTGACTTGAATTGACATTACAAATTGTGAGAGAACTGTGATACAACTTAGTCATGCATTGCAATGAATAAATAGAAATACATAATCTAAAAATACATAGTTTTAAAATAGGATTTAAAATGTAAATTGCTTATAATAATAATAATAATAATGGAGTTTGGCCTAGACAAATGCAAAAAACTTCACATAGAAAAAGGAATCCTGAAGAAAGAAGATTTTGCACTTGGAAATGGAGACGTTATTGAATCCATGGAAGAGGGCGAGTTCTACAAGTACTTAGGATTTCAACAGGCCAAACTAACAGAACATACACAAATAAAGCAACGATTAATTAAAGAATACCAAAGTAGGTTAAACGCTATACTTAGAACACAGTTAAATGCAAAACACACAGTTAAAGCAATAAACACATATGTCATCCCAGTACTCAC